AGTGCTGAATTGTAAGAGATCCCATGTTTGGAAAGATTTGCTTAAAAAAAATACTCTAACTAAATTAGGATGTTTATCCCAGTTGTCTTGTGCAAGTCAGTTTAGAAATTACTGAGTGGTGCCCACTGAGATCACATGCTTTTAATATAAAGACATAGTGAACTTGTCTGGTAGGTGAAATCTAAGCACTGTAAACGTCACGGTCTTTGACATTTTCACCTGTTCGCATGTTGTTCATGTTCTCTACATGACCTTGTCTTTACAAGACAGGAAAAAACAATAAGCAGCATCACAATTTAGAATTACATTTCTAAAATAAATTGACAGAGATTTATAGTATAAAACTTGGCTCTGCTGATCCACAGTCTGGTAAAGCACGAAGAGCATATCGAGAGCCATGCCAAAGGCTTTACATGTTAATTGGATACAGCTGATGTTATTGAAACCCAAGGATAGTTTTAGTACAGGAAGAATAGTGGTGGGGGCAGGGGGTCTCAACTGCTTCCACTTAAATAGTGAAGTTTTATGTTCTGTCAACAAACAGACGGGGGTCTTCAGTCTCTAGCTACGAAAAGGCGGACAGCCCGGAGATGTGCTGGGACCTTGACATAAGTAAAAGATGCACTAGGACAGAAGGTTATGTACTGTTTCTGTAATTGTTAGCTTTCCTCAAATATATTAACCTTCAGAAATACAACAGAAGTGTATTTTTCCCTAAAGACACAACCCTCCAAGATAGCAGTCGTGTTTTTTCGTTACCTTAGCAATGAAAGGAAATAGTCTTAGTTTACTTCTGCTTGGGAGGACTTCAATCTAACGCAAATAAAGAGCCAGGGGACTACTTAAAATTGTTATACGTGACTAAACTATTGTTCTTATCAATATACCTGGAAATATAGAAGCCCAAAAATGATATCAGATATTTTTCATGCATATATCTGCTGATGCATGATACATTAACATGTATAAAATGTAGAAATTGGGACTGGATCCAACTGGATTAGCATTATGGATAAATATAAAACTTACTTGTACCAGACTACAAATGCAGTAAAATGAATAAAATGCAGATATTTTAGTGCAGTAGCCCAGCATTACCTAAATGCTCTGCTTTTCTGGAGTATGGTAAATACACTCAAAAAAATATTTAAGCCCAAAAGTTAAAACTTGTGTATTTTAATTACATGTCAATTTTCCAGTCAATTTAAATACATAAATCTAATGTATAAAATGGTAATATAATTTAATTCTCCATCATGTTCATTAAACCTGAATGAATTAAATAACGTTTAAATTGGAAGTGCTTGTAGGATTTATACAGTTCTTTTACATAACATTTATGTATTTCTAAAGAGTTAATAGTACCTTCTGTATTCACAGCACAGTTACTTAGACTGTGTAAATGTATTAAATAACAATATATGTGAAATTCACAAACATTTATTGTAGTCCAAACTGTATTAAACAGTATTTGCTGAGGAACATTACAAGACACATGTAAACTTTTTTAAAGTCTAATGTGAAAGAAATAAACATAACTTTATATATTTCAGCTGTGATCAAATTCCCTGGTTTAGAATTTCTATTCACTTGCAAATTAACTACTAATTAAAGTAAATGTTTATGTGCACAACATTTCTATTGAGGTGCAACTCTCATGCTAACCGTCATGCAAGTTAGCTAGCTAACGCTATCAGTCTCTTCATGCCATGCTAATATGTCGAGGTCACCTACAGTTACAAAAACCATGAACTGTTGATTTGAATATTAATGGAATACATCTTTACTTACTATGCTTTACAATAAATCACTCCCATTGTTTGTTTATTCTACCTTTTGTACCTGTTAACATGACAGCAGACCTAGCAAGGATACTAGCTAGCTAGTTCGCTGGCGTTGTCTAGAGTATCTCAAAATAAGCAAAATGAAACATTAATATATGGTCAAAAACATTACAAACACAAATTAAGTTAATGCGCATCATTATTTCATTGCGGTTGCACTTTATAACAAAGGATGGCAGGAGATTGTAAAAGTATGAAGAGCCATTTCATGTCCACCACGCCATATACGAATACAAATAAGTATATTTTAAGTTTTATGTAAAATTTTTGCTTAATGTTTATGATGGCCATAAATCATTTTTTTCAGTGTACACAGTTTTTTTAAGAAAATATCTGCTGATACCGTGGTCATTTAGAATGGACTTTTGTTAGTGCTGTTATCATTTTTATGTCTGTACTTTCAAAAATAATGGAGGCAAAATGTTCTTTATAGCGATGACAACTCTTTAAGGATTGTTTTTTCAGGGGTTCTCTGGAAAAGGCAGTGCTTCTATATAAAATCACAAACAATCAAAGATCCATTTGACTGTATAAGTGTTTTTTCACATGGTCAAACGTTCTGTGATGGAAAACCAGTTATACATGGTTCTTTAATGGATCCTTGTAGAAGCTATTGCTATGAGTAAAAGAAACCTACACTTACCCCTTTTTTCTTAGAGGAACCTCCCTTCAATGGATGGCTCTTTAAAAAAAATTTAAACCACTTCATTGAAAGATTCTTTAGGGAATTAAAAGTACTTCTTCTATGGCAACTCTCGAAAGAACACTTTATGTCGCCTTTATTTTTACAAAGCAGCAGCTGCGAGAGTGAAGTCACAAGTAAAATTGATCTTATTTGTAACGTGGCCTGCTTCAGTCAGTCATTGGGAAATGTGAAGTTTCTTTCCAGAGGATGAGCAAGTCAGAATCTGAAAACGTGGCCTACGTGAGGAACATTTAAAAGCAGACCAACAAACAATGGGATGACTCAGGTAGAAAAACTACAAGACTAAGGTCAGGAAAGTCGAAGCCTTTTTGTTTTTTTCTTATGGCTGTCAAACGTTTAAAGTAGTTAATCACTGTTAATTGTCTTAGTTTGTGTTGGTAATCCCGATTAATTATATTTGTCTTCTTTGTTCGAATTTGACCTTAAAAAAAGTTTCTTTTTTTTTTCATTTTAAAAGCAGTACTTTTTTGTTATAGCTATATGAGTTGATAAACTTTATCAGCATGTATTTATTAACTTCATTAATTCAACTTGAATCTAAAAAACTACAGGACTCTGAAAGGGATGCTAGCAGAATTTAATTATATACTATATTAATTCAGCATCATAAAGATGACACGTTCTATGATATGTGGGAATCTTAATATTACTTGGATTTATTCCAAATATCCTGGTCAAATGAACCCCTAGGAGACTTATTACTGATGTTTTGCTGTACAGTTTAAACATAGTTGTTATTCCATAATTAGTTATATCATTAATTACAAGCTAAGTTCTCTAGACTGGTTTAAGTCTGTAATTCCAACTTATTTTGTTGTCAAAATGGCAAAATGTTAGCAGAAATCTTTTTTGTTTCTACATAACAAGACTTTTTGCACAATGAATTTTCATCATATTCAAATAATGTTAATATAATATCTCTTTTACTTACAAATATAAATATGCAACTGATTGAACATTTAAAATCTGCACAGAATTTTTACTGAGCAGTGAAATAATTAATATTAAAATGCACCTTTTTGCTTTTGAGAAGTTCTCGGGGGTCAGTTCTAAAAGGTGTAATTTAGGGATGCACAATGATATCAGAATCATATCTGTATCGGTTGATATATCGATCCTTTTGAAAAGTCATTGGCTCCGGGCCGATCAAACCGATATTTGATCAAGCTACTCTACAGTACTGCAGCTAAAATGTCTCCCATAACACTGTGCACACAAGCAAAACCAAGAAGTCATTCTGGTGCCCAAGGTGCCAGCAGAGAGAGCCGATAAAAGCTAGGTTTAAGTTTATTTTTTTACACTCTATTTGTTTAAATTGAATGAAATAAAGCGTTCATCACTTATCACGCTTGGTATCAGTTTACAACAGCTTAGTCTTCACAGACTCGCTGTTTTTGAGCTGAAAGATACGAGCTGAAAAGGCTCAGATAGTAACGTTAGCTGAGGTAGCTTACCATTAGCTTACCATTGTCTGTTTACCTAAAAGACTGACTGCCTTTCTCTCGGTAAATTTCAAGCCACCTGTGATCTACTGCGGCTTTCTGTGGTCTCGATACAGCTTTAGTTCAATGTTGTGACGCGCTGAGGAATTGAACAGTGCTTGTTGGAGTACCGGCACAGGTGTGCAGACCTCCATTAAAAACAAAGGTTTCAAATTTCTGGCCACTGTAGATATAATAAAAACAAACTATGGGATGTCGGCGTCAGCCCAGAATTCTCATATCAGTGCATCCTTTTGTGTAATTTGAACAAAGCCTTGTTGTTTTACTAAGGTTATAGATGTTCCCAGAAGTGACTTTTTAGGGTCAGTTACTTTATAGAAATGGGTGCTAAAGCAATTAAGTTTTAACCAAAATCATTACTGATTATTTATTAATTATAGTAAGAATATACAGTACTGTGGAAAAGTCAGAGACCATTCTTTTGTTAATGCAATTTCCAGTCAAAACAGCCATTAAGTACATGGTATTTATTTTTCAGTGTCAGAAAAAAAGCAGCAAACAGGAAATCACACCAAAGCCTCTGAGATAGTATAATATCAGATCCATCAGTGTTTAATTTGTCCACTCTTTACTTTTGTTCACTCTATTACCACTTCAACTGTTCCATCCTTCCAATTTTAAAACCTACCAGTTACGACTGTGTCCTCTAACAAAGGCTGTTCCCAAATGTGTCACTGACTTTGTTCTTCTTCAAGCAAACAAACAAACACTAACATTCACACAAGCAACTACCCAAACACACCTCAGCTTAACACACCTTAATTCTCAGGTGAGTCTAAAATGGCTAAAGGAGAGATTTCTGAGGAGATTAGGTTTAAGATAGTTCACTTGCATAAGGAAGAGGAAAGTCAAAGGAAAATAAATGACTTAACTGACTCACCCTTACTGGTTGTGGTGCTACATAATGTCTCTCCATCTCTTTGTTTTTCTCTCTATGTATCTACACAGCAATCAGGACCAGTCACACTCTGTTGGATAGAACAGCAGAGGAGAGTTTTCCAGCGCAGTTATATTCTCATCCCTCAAATCCAGCAGAAGAAAGCAGAGGTAAAGTACAGCACTCCTTACTCCACTCCTGCAGCACCAAACTGGTCCACATTGAACATATTTCTGTCCATTTTTCCAATGTGTTTGTATACCTGTTTATAAGGGCCCAAATCCTACATTTTTCATATAATTAATTTTTTCACTTAAAGCCCCTTTCTACTCATTGTTACGTTGTTATCTATAGTTCTGTCATGTTTTTTTTTTCAATGAATTGGCAGAGAAAGAATGATGTTGGTCTTTTCTGGTGATTTTTTTCTGCTGTTTTCTTCAGTTCGATTTGAGTTGGGATTGAGTTGGATGAGACTAAATTTGGTGCAGTTTACGTCAGACCTGCGAAAGTACCAGTCAGAGTTAGCAACATGTATACATTGACTATTTACGTTTCTTGAAGTGTAGTAAAAAAAACTGACAACACTAAAGCCATTGACTTAAAGCCATTGTAATAGAAGTTGGTGGGAAAATTTTACAGCACCATTGTTTTCTATTACAAGTGTGTTTCAAGTCAACACGCTGCCTTTTCTTCTGTTAATTACAGAGAAATTATTGTTTGCGATTATTGACCGTACGCTACAGATGCAGCAGATAGCGATCAGGTTGAAGAACACTGGAATATCCTTTGAGATGGGCTGATAAAATGGATAAATGGATAAACTGATTAGAACTACAGAAAAATGCACATCAACCACTGAGTAGTTTATTTTTTATTTTTAGTTTGTAGAAGATGTGTACTTATTATCACTTAGAACATAAAGAAAACATGTAATTTGACCAGGTGCGTACAAGCTTTTGCATACGACTGTACTCCGTTCCATTTAATTCAGTTCATTTTATTGAGTTACATAAGATCAGATATACCAGAAAATTGCAAAATCCTTTTGTTTTTACGCAACCCCCACCCACCCCCTTTTTTTCTTTTCCCCAAATGTAGTTTTGTAATTTGAATAAACCCACTGAAGTGAGTAGTAAAATTGATTTATAGTTCCGTAGGCCGAGCGTTTCCCGTGGCGGTGTTTGTGCTGAATCCCAGAGGGCTCTGTGGTCTCTCTGTGGCCTCTCTTCATCAATACCCTCACATGACTCCGAAGACAGCTAAAGACAGCTCGACTCCGTGGCATCTCTGTCAGAATCGCCTGTGGCAAACCACAGCCCCCTCCAGACACGCTCCCCCCATCTCCAAACGGACACGTTCTTGTCTCTTCTCATTTTGATGTTGGAGCTTAATGGTCTTGGAAGGCCTTTCTAGCAGGAAAGTGTGGCTGCTCAATGGCATTTTTTATTAGGACGCTTCCAAGGGATTTGTTTGATCCCTCACTCATTTTTCAGTATGAAGAATTAAGATTGATAGTTCTTGAAGAATAATGATTCATGGTAAAAGATTTCCATGCTGTCGTTTGCTAAATCAGAAAAACAGATTTGTGAGTACTAACAAATCAGAACATGTATTGCCTCAGAAACTGTCTTAGGTAAACAGAATGTTCAGTGCTTAGACCACTAACTATAAACTTTCCTTTCAAAAATTGTAAATATGAGCAAAATGGCTGTAAAAATATTCTTTATTGCTTATCCTTTTGATGTTTTATTCCTAAAAGCCTAAATGTTATAAAATAAATATTTTTCTTAAATCTTTGTGTGCCACAATTGTTGGCACACCTAGAAATTCCTATGAGGGAAATCTAACTGAAGTATATTACCTGTAGTATTTTATTTTTTAAAGTTCACCAAGCGATTAGGAACACTTAAATGGTCAGCCATGACTTCTTGTTTCACTAGGGTATAAATATGAGGTGACACACTGGCCAAATTCTCATAGTTATCCATCACTATGAGAAAGAATATGGCAATGATGTGCGACAAAATGTTGTTGAGCTGCACAAATCAGGAAATGGCTACAAGAAAATACCTAACAGTTGGAAATGCCCATGTCCACTCTTAGGGCAATAATTAAGAAATTGAAAGCAAATGGACATGTTACGAATCTGCCAGGAACAGGACGTTTGTCTTTATTGACCCCCTGCACAGTTAGGAGGCTGGTTCGAGTGGCCAAAGAATCTTCAAGAATCACTGTTGAGAAATTGCAGAAATTAGTTCGGTCTTAGGGACAGAACTTGGGGTCTCCCAATCATACGCCACCTACATAACCCCAGGTTGTTTGAGGGTGTTGCCAGAAGAAAGCCCTTGCTGTCAAAGACTAACAAACTCAAGTGCCTACAGTTTGCCAAATGTTACTACTGGAACTTTTAGTGGGACCGTGTTTTATGGTTAGATGAGACCAAAATAGAAATTTTTGGCAACAAACACCAGAGGTGACTTCAGCATAGGGAGAACAATAGCCATGCAGAAAAGTACCTTATCTCCCTGTGAAGTATGGTGGTGGATGTGTAATACAGTGGGGTTGTTTTTCTTCCAAAGTCTCAGAACAGCTGGTTCGACTATATGGTATCATGGACATCAAGTACCAGCAAATATTAAATCAAAACCAGAAGATCCAACCACAACATATAAGCTTCCTCTACCAGGAAACTTAAACTGCTCTGTGGATGGATCTTCCAGCAGGGCAGTGATGCAAAGCTCACCTCAGAATCAACACAAAAATGGTTCGCTGACTGTAAAATCAGGGTTTTGTCATGGCCACCCCAGCGATCTGACCTAAACTCTATAGAAAACCTGTGGGATGAGCTGAGGAGGAGAGGCATGGACAAGCATGGACCTCAGAAGGATCTGGAGAGATTCTGTGTGGAGGAATGGTCTCAGATACCTTGCCATGTGTTCTCCAGTCTCGTTAAGCACTACAGGAGAAGACTCAGAGCTGTTATCTTTGCAAAAGGAGGCTGCACAAGGTATTAAATGAAGGGGTGCCAGCAACTGTGGCACACACAGATTTGAAAAAAATACTTTTTTAATGATAAGATTTATTTTTTTTCTTTCAGCCAATATACTTCAAATAAAGGTTAGATTTTTGTTAATATTTTGAAAGAAAAATCAAAAGCATAAGCACTGAAGAAAGTTTTCACAGTCATTTTGCTTATGTTTACCAGGGGTTCCAATATTTGTGGAGGGCACTGTATGAATGAATCCCTAGACAGTGAATGTAAACTAGTGTCACTAAATATCAGTTTTTTTGTTGGAGCTTTTCTGCAAATAAATATCAATACACAAACCGTCCAGCACATTTTTGTTGCTCCTGCACAAATTACAAGACTAGACGCAGGTTTTGCAGCGTTTAAAGAGAAATTCCTCTGCATAATTTAGTCTCTAAGATATAAATAAATCATTCCGAGTGGTTTGATGTGAAATGGTTAATTGTAAATAAACCTAGGCACTCTGATTTTTTACAGTGGTGGTGTTAGAAACCAAGTGTTGTCGTGTAAAGTATTTGCTATCTAAAATGATGAAGGAACCTAAACATTCTTCTGAATTGTGCTAAATAGTGCTAAATCTGAAAAAAGTATGTTTTCTTCGGCTGCTGTTTTGATTATAACACCTTACATCTGCTATGACTATTAAAAAAAAGTTGAAGGCCAAAACCTTATGTCATTGTATAAAAATGTCTCAGGCCTCAGCCAGTGTATTCAGAATGATTTTATGCAATACCTTTCTGTGAGGTAGCTTTTAGAGGGATTAAACCTTTCAGACGTCTGGTTCTTATCACTACCCTTGTGAACAATTCTTACTTACCCTATAAGTTCTCTAGAAGGGCTTATTTCAGATATAAAAGGCACCCTGAATTCCTTTTTAAGTTAGAATTCCTGCCAATTATTACTTAAAACAAATTTATGTAATGTGTGACACACTCAGATGCCATCAAGTTGATTTCAGATAACAAAAAAGACTTGTCACTACATTCAATACCATAATCTGAAATGCTGTCATTTATTTATCTTAAACCAATATAGTACTTTACATGACATATATCAATAATTCAGTATCATTCAATAAACTCAAACATTAAAATGTTTTTGTGAAACCTCACACTTCTGTGGGGAAACAATATTGTTTATCAAGTTAAGTGCTGTCTTATAGCATGCTGTTGCAGCTTTACAACACTCTTTGGAGACTCTGGATGGCCTGTGAGACTCCATTCCTAACTACCTGATTTGACTCAACACTGTCAGTTTTAACTCCAGGTGTAGTCCAAATAAGTTTCCTACTGCTCTGGATTGCTAGCTGGCTAACAGGCTCTCGGTTGTATTTATTCCCAGAATACAGCATGCTAGCTAGCTCTCTGGAGCGGTTGGAAACGTATGCCCTGTACTGGGCAATTGACCACCACAGCGTGTGCTCCAATAGAAAGCAGCTTAAAAACCTTCATCATATAGATCTGAAATATGGACAGTCTCCTGTACTCTCAATCATTACTGTAAAAGAGCTGACCATAGAAGTTGTTTGCATTTATGTGACTTCTGCGGGGTTGCCAGATTTTGCAGGACCACCTGGATTAGCATTTTATGCTACTTGTTGTGAACGTATTTATTTATTAGTGATTTTTTTTAATTTGTAGTTTTTCAATCAGGTTTTGTAATAAATCATAAATAAAAAGCAAAATAAATAGAATGTGTGAAATAGTACAAAACAGTAAATGAATCATTGTTATAATTATTTGTAATAGGGTCATTGACCTGATTTGCATTTTTTAGTCCATTATTTTCCCAAAAATAACTAAATAAATACATGACATTTATCACATTATTACATTATTCAACAATAGCTCTTTTATGTTCAACAGTTGTCAGTGCAACCATATAAAATTCATTTTAGTTCCTTTTTGCCTTCAAAAGTGTAAAAATATCAGATGGTGCAACCGTCCAACCATATAAGTTGATTAAATTATGTTTTTCAACAGTCCAAATTGTAGCCCAACAAGTGTTTTTCTTTGTGTTAACATTGCTTGTCATTTTAATATTTTTCACTAATATCTCTTGCTTGTGAAATCATTGGAGGGAGTATGACTGTATTCAGCCTTTAGCTAATGTTACCTTTTATAGTCTAACATCAAGTCCATTGTGAATGGCATTTTCTTGGTTTTATGATCAAATGTTTTGTTTAAAACAGTACTGAAAAAGCTTTTAAGGGTGATAAATTATCCTTTAAATGATAAGGAATCCCCAAGAGTGTTCAGGAGACAAAAGATGAATTTAAATAGGGAAACAAATACCAACATAATGAACGAATGCTTGAGTATTCAGATTATTCAGGCCAGCCCTAAACAAATACAGCAAATTTATATTAAACCAATATATATTAAATGTGATAAACTTGTAGTTTTAAAGTATAGTTTAAGTTCAAAATGTTTGTCTTTTATTGTAAGGTTACAGTGTGGTACACTTATTGTAACAGTACAGTGTGATAATGTTAAACGTTTTCTTCTAATAAATATACTAATTAATAATTTTGATCAGAAAATATATTGTACTGTGCATGCACAGCATAAATCTGCAGTTCCAGCACAGACAAATGGTTTGTTGAAGGATTCCGCCAGATGTTTTTGTGAAAATGGCTTTGCTATTGATGTTTCTGCTCTGACGCACATGAAAACTGTGCTCCTCATGCGTGACATGTTTTTACAATAATGACTCAGACGCTCATATGTGAGTAAATTCTGTTTTAATAGCTGTGTTCATTGTTTTGAGAGCAAAATCTCCTCAGTTTGTTAGTAATATTTATTATTTCAATGTTAAACGTAAAGCGTACAGAATAGCATGCATTAGATATTGAATTATGGAAAGAGAATGGTTCTTGGACATTGGCCTTTGTTCACATACTTTATACTTGAAGAAACTGTTTGCTTTTCATTAGCACTGTGCTTTCAAAAATATTTGAGACCTTGCCATCCCGCCTGTGTTTAACAAGCGAGAAATGTGGAACTGTAGATGTTTTTCCTCTCGATGTCCTTGGACATATAAATCCAGCCACTAATTAGTTTCATGACATTCATTGGATGTTTACTGGCTTTGGTGTTAAGGCTTGTCAAATGAGCAGAAAGCCACTAAATAGTAATCACTCCTGACTCCTATTTAAGTACAGTGTGAGTAAACAGGCATTGCTGTGAGCAGGCAGACTCTAAAACATGTAGTGACTTTTTAGTGATTTTTCAGAATCTTTTGATGTACATATATGTAATAAAGGCAAAACTTTAGGGGAACTTACTTTCTTTTGATTTTCACTGTAACTTTTTAGTAAAGTCGAAAAAAATTACCTGCAGAGGTTTTGCTTAGGGCTGCAACTATCTTTCTTTTTTGATATTCTAGTAAATATTATCTCAAACATATTGAACATATTGAAACATATTGAACACATGAATATTCTATAATAATACTGAAAGATTTCACGTTAATGATGAAATAAAAAAACACTTTTTAGATTAGTATTTATTGTTATTGAATGTGTTATTATTGTTGTTTTCACTGAAACTTAAAGTACTACAAGGTAATAGAAAAACATTATTGATAAACAGTTATTATCGTAGCAAGTAGCACAAAATTCTATTCCTAGGGTTCCTGCCCAATCCTGAGCAGGATGCTGAGATGGTTTGCTGCAGAACAGAGGAAACAGTGTCTTTTTAACCACATTGTCTTAAATGAACCGTGTGCTTTCATAAAAATGAGTATAAGTCCCAGTTATTCTAACTGCTTTCCGTTTTTGAATATTTTAATTAGTGAATTAATCAGATTTTATAGAATATTTGTTGCAGTTGTAGTTTTGTTAACATAACACAGCTATTTGCTAATACTTGAGTGCCTCCATTGACTACTGTATGTCTCTTTTATGGGCATTTCTCACAAAACAGTATTGAACATACTGCATTGACTTACACACACAGAATTGTAAATATGTGCTCATATCACCCCTTTCATTGATCTGTTACACTAGCTATATATCATAGCAGTATCATTTCACATGAAGTTTAAACTCCTCCTGTTTACATATTAAGCCCTACATGGCCTAACTCCATTCTATTCAACCAGGCTTCTCAATTCCTACACCCTCACCCGCACTCTCAGGTTATCGGACACTGAACTCTTAGCCGGGCCAGATCCTTTAGTCTGTGTTCAGACTGCAGGTAAGAGTAGCCCAAGGCCCAAATCTGATTGACTATACAAATCTGATTTTGTTTTGGTCATTCACATTATCTTTTTATCGTGGTCTGTATCTGACATCACTCTGAACGGATCCCACTCCTGAACTGACACACATACGCGAAAGGACCACGCACCATGCTCATCCAACAGACACAGCTGTTCCTTAAGATTAACAGATTTTCACATGACATTTAACTTTAAAGTGTGCAAACTGCTGCTTTAAACCTGCAGGACAAGCAGCAGCCACTAAATGACCACGCAGGACAGTGTTTACAGAAAAGAGTAAAAATGGTCAATTTCTGTCTTTGCCTTAATTGTGGAAGCCCACCAAACAGAGACGCTTGGTTTCTTTCGTCTACCAGTTGTGATAAAGAATGCTACTAAAGGGACACAGAACTTGGTACCAAAACGGCAGTATATCGTTGCTGTTGGAACAAAACCTCATATCTCTAAAATGAGAATTTTACAGGAGAAAGAAAAACCTACTTTACTTTTAATGTAAGTCAATGGAACCAGACCTTTTTCCAAGTATTTTTGGGACGTTTCTATCGGTTCATTCACCATGAAATTTACATACAATGTAAAGGGCAACAGGCATTTTCAAATTATGTCCAAAACTGAAAAATGGCAAAAATGTACATATGAGGTTTTGTTCCGATAGCAGCGATATATTGGATAAAGAGTCTTGATCTTGATGAGGCTCCTTTCACTCTTTTGTTTCTCTTTCTTTCCATATATCCGTAAAGTAAACAGGATTTTGAATAGCTGTTAGTTTGATTCTTCTCTATAGAAAGTTTGTTTACACCACTCACACTTGTCTCACTAGTCCTGCATAGTGAAAGAAGATACAAAGTGTAACTCAACTCCACTCAACTTTTTAACTCACAGCATCCCCCAAACTTTAGGCACTGGGCCTGTCATGCACCACACAGCTGTGTTGGATGGAACTGATGCTTTCAATTAAAAATGAATGGGATATGTTCCTTCAAAGCCCAGTTTTCTCTTTTCGCAACACTTTCACTCTTCTTCTCGCTCCAGGTGTTTAATTCTTTTCCCTCTCTCCAAGTCAGGGCTAGAATGTAATTGCTGGCTTGTAGAGCGACCTTGACTATGAAAAAAGCACTAAATAAATGAAACAATATGTTTGATTAAGATTTTCCCTCCTGTTGTGGTTACAGCGTTGTTCCACGCCTTTGATTTAGTCTGTATTGAGAGCATCACTTTAGCTTTTTGTAGCTGAACTGCAGTGTCAGGGTGAGCTTCTCTGAGTGTTTGTTACGTGTTCACTGTAATGTAGCCCCGCTTCTACCCCCTGCAGTTACCTCCTGCAATTTTGAATCTCCATGTTCCTGGAGCGTGTCCAATCACAGCACTGGTGGAGACTGGTATGTCACGTCGCCACAGCAACACAGGCCCGGTAGACGAGGTGCCCAACCAATCATGGATCACTCTGTTGGAGACTCTAAAGGTAGTGGTACAAATGGTAGCTTTTTATATTTTTATAGTGCTTCGCTTTGCCTTTTAACATTCAGCCATAATTAGAGGCATTTATGTGGAATACCTGAGCATTTGCTTTATGGATAAGAACACTGTGTTCTCCAGCATGTAAAACAAATTCATGGTAATACCACTGAAAATTGTTCTTCATTGACTTTTTTAGTGTAAATTGTAGTAGGGTTGCCATCTGTTGATTACTCATGTGTGGTACAAATTTGTTTTTACCTTTACATAACAAACAAAATCCCTCTGTCTGAAAATCTACAGTGCAGTAATTGGAAATGAGTGGTGTTTAGGGGTGTAACGATTCATAAAACCTATAATTCATTCCAGTACAATATGGAGATGTCCTTATTTAATAGCAAAAAACAAGGACATCTCCAAGTTTAGCAAAAACATGAGTGTTTGAGAATATGGCTAATGTTAACATGTTAATGTTTCCATTTTCTGTTTATTAGAGCACACTGCATTATAAAAGTACAATATTTTAGAATAATGCGTTAGATTATAAGCTAATGTTTTGCTTACAAGAAGTATGCTCCATGCTTTTCATTTCGAGGTAGGAAGTTATTTATTTATTCGTTATATTTATCATTGTGGGCTAGCTTGTTTAATTTTTAATTTCATGCAGTAGAAACAGTACTTAGATGGTGAACAAATTAAACAAGAACTCGTACACTTTAAATAATAATTTCTGCATAATTCAGTTATCGACATGTAAACAAAGTCACTCAGAGGGTTTTGAAGTGAAATGAAAAAACATTCAGATTTCTCAACAATGGTGCTGACAAGAGCCGGTGGTCACCATGTTTACAGTGTTATTCTAACCATTTTGCTGAATTATTTAAAACTGTGGTCCCATGGTAAATCAAAACTATTAAAAAAAAGTTCCAAAAATATTCAGATCTATGCATCTAACTATATTTTAAATTGTGACAATAATACTTTTAAGGTCTTTTTCATTTCTTTTTAAGTGAGGTTGAAAGATTATCGTGAGTTTAATTTTTATATTTAAAAAACTTGCCAAAAACGCTTTGTTTTCATGTCACCGCTGAAACATGATGCGTTTTGAACCATAGATAGAGACTTATTTTAGCCACGTCTCTGCATTTTAGAGCTGGAAGTTAGACTGCATCCTTTTTGGTGTTTAAATGAAAAACATTATGATTTTATATGTGTACAACTGTTCAAAGCTCAAAGTTAGCTAAAATTGTCACTTCTGAAACAGTAATTACCAAAACATTTGGGGGAGTTTTGGTAGAGTCATGACTGTTATCTCAAAATGACCGTAAGCAAGGCAGCGTATCATAATGATTTAATGTAATAACTTTCTGTGAGGTAGTCTTGTCAGTCACCACCATCTGAGCAGTTCTCTCTCGTTTTTAAAAACTGTTTTGTCTGTTCATTGTAATATATTTTGTGTGGTAATAAGCAGTTTGAACAATGTGAAGCAGTTATTTTTTACATGAACAAAATGAATATTTTACATCAGTTCATATCTCAAAAACACTTTAAATCAACTTCTACCCTGTTACACTTTTTACAGGCTAAGTCGCCAGCATGGAGCATTTCACATCAAACTACCCTAAATGACCTAAATTACTTTATTATTAGTATTATTATTAGTATTATTATTATCATTAATTCATATTGTGATATCGTATTGTTATTGTCCAGATAGTGGAAAATATTGCAATATAAATTTGAGTTTGTATGACCCACCACTACTTGTCGTAAAGAGAGCAAGCTGTTATGAAAGCCTCTTGTTATGAAACTCCCTTCTGTTTTCCTTGTTGTAGGTCATTTCCTGGTTGTGAAGCCTGACTCGGGCCTCAGGGCTTCTGGGATTTGCACTTTTCACATCACCAGTCCCGTAGTGCTGAGTAGTGGGCCGCTGTGTCAGGTCCGTCTGGCGCACTTCCAGCCAGAGCCAAGAAAGGGAAACTTGTCTGTGTCTGTAAAACTCACTGAGTCTGGAGTCGTCCAGTCACCAGCCTTCATCAGCAAAGAACAGGATGGAGCCAGGTTAGCATCTTCTCATGACTTTCACATGACTTTGATTATGAATATCAGAAAACTTATAAATAGTGGATCGACCCCTAATGGAAATACCAATTCCGATTATCAGCAAAATTATAAATATCAGATCAACCCTAATTCAAATTCTGATTCCAATTATTGAAAAAATTATAAATACTGGATCGACCCCTAAGGCCAATGCCAATTCAGATTATCAGTAAAAGTATGGATATCGGATCCACTCTAATGGAAATTTGGATTCACATTATTGGGAAAATTATAAATATCAGATCAAACCCCAATCGAAATGCTGATTCAGAAAAATGATAAATATCGAATTGACCGCTAATGGATCGACGTCTAATAGATACGCAGGCTTGTAGACTAAGTATAGTGAGTAGCACTGGTCTTTATCCAATGTGTGGCAGCTACTGCCTGGAGAGCGGAGATGGGTATCTGGACAAGCTTAAGTTGTAGGACCACCACTGAGTTTGGTGAAAAAAGTTGGTAATCCAGCCTAGAGGGAAGGAGGAAGAAAAACACAGACATGGCTGATCCGGATGGATATAAAATCATCAAGTAACACCTCTAAATGAGGAAATTACCCCATGACCTCATGTAAATATAATCCTGTCAAGATAGGGCTTAAATTACCATCTGTTTTTGCGGGATATGGTTTTTGGACTATACAGAGCAAATTGTGCATACAAGCAGCAATACATTGACATATGCCTTGTTCAGCAGCAGAGCGAGATGCAGCCACTGTTCTGTGAACAGAGGAGACGAATGTCATCTCAAAGCCTTTTGTTATGGAAATATCTGCTATATTGATTTTTTTGTGTTGGGCACAGCTACTCCAAGATGAATGAAAGCATTTTGTTTCTAAAAGTAGACACCAATGTTTCTCTGTGCGTAATTGGTTTTGACAGAGGGCTAGAAATGGGTTGTGATGCAATGCGATTTGGAAAGGAGCAGTACAAACATAATGGAGCCGATGCACTTATATACTGCGCCTGTTTAGGATGATGGACACTAGGACACTATTCAAGCTTTGTTTGGCCCAGTGCCTAACAGGTTTCATGGAGTGCTGTTTCATACAAATCAGATTTAGGTGATTTAGCCACAAACTGAAGTTACGTATGTGATGGAAAAAGGTTACGCTGATACAAATCCAGAAGTGTCCCAAAAGACTAAAGGTAAGGTTATGTGAACTATTTTGAAATCCTTTAAAAAATAGCTCTAGTTTGAGAGGTGGACGGATGTTCAGCTCAGTCCTCTTTTTGGTGCTGGTAAAAAAAGGTTGTAACATGTACAAGGGTACACAAAGTAATAGACCAGAGGGTCGATTGTTCTGAAGTGATTAAAAGGCCATTGAAAGGCGACATTCACATATTTATTATTATTGCTGGTTCTCATTGCTTGTTAATAAGCTGGTTTAGTGCTGGTAATTATTACAATTACTTTTAGATTCCCTTATTCACATTTTAACACCTTAAATTGCTCTGGACCTGATGGGATTTCCAGACCTTGCATCCCTTTCTCATACAATTAAAGGAGCTCAGCCAGTTTGCATTGTTTTCCATGTTATTACTAAACAACAACCATTAGGATGTAATAAAAAAGGAAGTTAAAAAAGCTAAAAAGTCTTTCTAATACAGGCTGTGAAAAGTGGTTGAGCCCTTGGTGCTAAAGTGCGTGAGTCATGGGGCACAGGTGTTTGAAGGCAATGAAGGACATAAAAGGAGATGGACTCTTTGCCAGGATAGTTTCTAAAGGTCAGCAGTGTGTAAAATATTAGAGACCTGATATTAACTGTTTAGACCTAGCCTCAGTACCATTCTTTTTGCAAGTATGCCGTTCGTTTTGCAAAGCTAATGGTATTAAAAATACAAACCCGATTCCAAAAAGTCAGAACAGTAGGATAAGTGGAAATAAAAACAGACAGCAATGATCTGCAAATCCTTTTTGACCCGTATTCTATTGAAAACAGTACAATAACAAGATATTTAATGTTTCAACTAATTAACTATTGTTTTTTGTATAAATATACGCTTAAAATTTGATGCCTGCAACAAAAACAATTTTTAACATTAAACAGCTTTCCGTAATCATTTCGGAACTGAGGACACCATTTATGAAAGTGGATTTTTTTTTATATTACTCTTCATAATGTGCAGAATGTGGCTTGGCATTCTCTTGCTGAAACAAGCAGAGACTTCCCAGAGACTTCCCTGAGACTTCCCTGAAAAAGATGTGAAAATGCGTATGTACCCCTCAGCATTAATGTTGCCTTGACAAATGTACAAATTACCCATTCCATTAGCACAAACACAACCCCATAGCCCTGTGCCTCTTTGGACCAGAGAACACAACGTCCATTATTTCCAAAAAAAATTTGAAAGGTAGACTCATCAGACCATAGCACACTTTTCGCACACAGCTTTAGCCCAGATAAGTCAGCGTCACTTCTGAATGTTGATATATGGTTTGCATAGTAGAGTCTTAATTTGCATTTGTAGATGCAGTGATGAACTTTGTCTACTGACAAGGGTTTTCCAAAGTATTCCCGAGCCCACACGGTTATATTCATTACAGAAGCATGTCGTCTGAGGGATAGAAGGTCCACATATAAATAGGAACGTCACACAACTGACATGTTTTATCATTACTCTGATTAGACAGATTAATAATAAGTGCCTACCTCTCTGAATGAGCTTGTGCATTCATTTGAAAAAAAAATCACAGTGCATCCAGTAATAAAGGAAGCCTCATGCATCTTTTATACAATGATAGAAACATAGTATCACACAGAAAGTTCTGAATGTGCTCGCTGATATATTTCACTCTGGCCAACGTAAACATGCGTGCACCTCAACTCCTCTGGCAGCAGATTTAAATGATTTAAAGTGGCCATCAGCATTTCCAATTCTCAAAATGGATTGCTGGCATTTCTCAGAATGGATCTTTGGCAAGACGCTCAGTTTGCTAGGGTTAGTGAAGTCATTTAGAAGACTTTTTAGAATAAAGTGTTTTAGAATCTTTGAAAGGCCATGCATACTTTGCTATTGTTGAGTCCATTTTTATTGTTTGGCCTTTGAAAAAACTTGGATTAACCATCACAGAATTACTTGATCACTACTATACTAGTAATAGCTCTAAATCAAATTGTGTGATAAAACCATTCCTGAAACATAACTACCTATGTATATATATTCCTAACTTTCTTTTGTTTTCTCCTTTAAAAAAGTTTTTGCACCCCACCACCTCCACATACGCCTGCCTTTCTTATAGATTTTCACGCTCCTCTCTTGGTTCTCCTGGAAGAGAGCTCTGGTCTTCTAGTGCAAAACAGAAGAACTCCAGTCCAAATTCTGTTCTGTGTTGTACTTTTCTTTCAGCTCCTGCAGTTCCACAGTGACTCTTCGTAACCATCAAGTTAAAGCATCTGCATTAACAAAATATTTATGCTGGAACTGCCATTTGAAACCAAAGCCAATGTGCAAAAATGTGTACTCCTGTGTAATGAGCACAAAATCTGGATCTTAGTGCAATGGAATAAAAAAAGGCAATCTCCTGAGCCATTTTCAGTTTTTTCTACATCTGAATACTTTATGCTTAAAGAAAGACAGATGAAGCCTTAAGGCATATTGCATGTCCATTCTTTTGAGAAAAAATACCCACTCATAATATTCAAATAGGAATATTCTAGGAAAGTTCAAAGTCTTGTAAAGTGAGCCTCAATTCTCTTTGCTGCTGTGTTTCTGGGTCGTCTTCTATTTATTGTGTTTACCTTTGTCTAACCTTTGCAGATAATTACTTTGTTGCTTTTCTGATAATTACTAACAAGTTTGCTCAGTTGAAAAAGCATGAAGAAAGGTGATCAAGTTTTTTTGGCAATTTCCGTGAACTGTTTCACTCAAACTGGCATACTTGCTCAGCGAAAAATTAAATTCACACAATGTTCCACTTAACCCAAATGTAGTCAGCCAACATCCATATTTTGTGCTTTTTTTTAGTTTAGCTATGGAACTATGAGGCTAATGGTGCTAACAATCAGTAGAAGTCCATAATCACTCAAATCTTTTCTGTAAATACATCCCCAAAACTTCTCTCAAACCGCATCTGAATCTTTGTTAACGTCGCTCAGACTTGTCAGTGTGGGTTAGTTTCAGGATGATGTACTGTGAGCTATAGAAATTAACAAAACTAAACACAGTGGGCAACCATTTTAGATAACCAGTGTTCTGGTGAATTCTGACTCCCTCGCTGAATCCAACTGTTTATGTTCAGACCTGTCACACAGGCATATGGACTCTAGATTTAGTTTGTGATTTATGTTGTTTCTGTGTATAAACATGCATTTTCAGTTTTAAAAAATCAAGATTTATGGTTGTTAATTAAAAGAAACAACAGAAATCGGGAACGTAATCTGTGTCGTCCGTACGCCTGCATGACATGCATACATGCAAAGAGGAGTCTGAATTTGGCACAACAACTTTTGTCTAAAATTAGTTATATAGTTCATAGCAAATCATTCTGTGTCCTATACCACGTTCACAACTCTGTATAACCTTAATGCAGTTTGTAGCTGGTTGAGAGAAGTTTTGGGGATTTGGGTGAGTATTTACTTCTAGTGTTTGTTAGAAACAATAGCCTTGTAGCTCCTGCTTAAAACTAAAGAAGTACAATTTGGACTCCAAACATACCTGGGCTGATTGACTGCCTGTAGTTTAAGTGGCTAATAGTGTGAATTTGATTTTTATCAAGCAGTTCTTTCTTAGATATTGCACTTATTGCCAGTCCAGCACAGAAGCATGATGTAATTTGATGTTAGTCATTGCTGGACTGTCCAGTGGGCTGGGCTACAAGAGCCATTGTCTAAATGTAATTTACTGTGTATCTCATGTCTTTAAATGTATAATTATGTAATCACACTGGAATAAGAAAGCAAAATAACAATATAACACGACTTTTATATGAAATTCATACCTCTGTTTACAGTTGAGCTTGTTAGAAAGCAGCTTTTCAGAACCCAGATTTAGAAAGAGAGTAGTAGGAACAGCAGAGAATGTTATTGTTGAGGTGGAGATATCAAGAGTGAGGGAACAGTTGGAGTAGTTAGAGAGCAGTTGGGAATGTATGTTAATATTAATAATGATTCAGAATTATTTGTAAAAATACAGAATGTGAAAATTCTGGAATCAAGTTTCCATGTATCCTTGGAAATCCCACTCCTATGGGTTATATACATATTCAGTCCTTTTGAGGATGTATATACAGTGTCATTTTCAAGGAAAAACCTCTGTTTGATTCGAGAACACTTTTTCTGAGCCGAGCTTACAGTTAAATGAGGTTCTGCAGTGTAGTTGTATGACAGCCCTCTAATGCAAGGGTTTAGGCATTAAAGGATTTTGAGTGATGTGGGATGTGAGCTCTTCTAGGCCTACACCAGGGCTCACTCAGCATTTCCTCCTGTCATTAGATTCCAGGCAAGAAATTAAGCTGAACTTCAAGCTCTGTATAAAGGAATGCTTGAAAATGGGCCTAGAAATTAAGAAGCGAATCCAAGTAGTTTGTAGAGATTCAGTCAAATTATACAAAGTTGGCCCAAGGGTTTTTAAAGGTTAGACTGGGGATATCTCAGCAGCATGTTTAATTTGCTTTTTGTGAATCAAAAACAGGTTAACATGGAACATTAGCCCTCTCCCTAAACCTGCATTCACTTATACACACATAATTTTAATCTTTGTGGACCAGGGCATCATGGGAGGTGCTGGAAGCGCCGATTGGTAAATTGGACGAGCCTTTCCAGGTGATGGTGCAGTACACTTCATGTAGTGGTCAGGATGTCGGATTTCTGGCCGTTGATTCACTGGAGCTGAAGGACTGTGACCCAGGTGAGTTCTTTTACAATCTGATAAAATGAGCCATGAGTCTGTGGCTACAGGCTAGGGACGAAAATCTCTCAACTCATGATATTTCAGTTTGATTAAGGTTCTTTAGACTGGCTTTACACAGTGAAAACTTTTATGAAGATAGTTGCAAATTGTGAGTTACCTGCAACAAAACGTCTATGCAACTTTACAGTTATACAAAACCATTAAAAAATATAGTTGCATGCAACATGTTCAGTTACTCCACTAGTTAGCAGCTCATGTTTTTTTTGACCACATCATTTTGACTATAAAGTGTGAATTTACATATTTACGTTTTTTTTGTGTTCTTTACTACATATTTAAGTTTTTCTATCTGTTATTTGTATATTAAGCCTTCAAAAATGAATGTTTAAGTAGCGATTATGGTTATTTTGTGTTTTATTTTCTTCTCCACTGATCTGGTGAAGTTTGAAAGTGTGTGTGGTTTGAAAGTGTGTCGTTTGACGTGATCATGTGATGTGTTATTGCGTTTTTGATTAGCTGGTTTATGAAACTTCTTTCACAAAGTTGAGACACTTTCAACTGTTTCAGCTAAGTTTCAAGTGAGTTGCAGGACGCTTTACATTATGCAATTCAAATGCATTTTAGTTTCATGTAAGTTTCATCTTATAAAGCCATCCTAAAGAGACAGTTTGATGTGTCATGAAAATGTCACTATGACTTATTTTGATTTGATCATGTTGGTCTGATTCAGACTTATTTGTAAAAATACACCTAACATACAAATGATACTGAAGGAGATATTTACTTTTTTATGATATTTTGCTAAAAATTACATTAGATGTTATCTATTTAAATATGCATACATTTGCATATTTTGTAAATACCAAAAATCTAGCCTTTGGATGAAGTTAGAATTAAAATGTTTTCATTGTGAAAACTCACTCCAGAGAAAGGATTTTTACAAACGGATTATTGAAATCTCATTGTTTTAAGTAGGAAAACTATGCATATGTGTAACAGCTCAGCACCTTGACAAATAAAGGCACACAGTGAATTATCACTTCAAAATGGTCTTTAACCTTTTAACTGTTGCCCCAATTTTGCCTAAAACAGCATACCCAAAGTAAAAGGAGCACTGTTTCCACATACTTTGGGCTTCAGTCACATTTGAAAGGTAACACACTCAATTTCCATCAGAATAACCGTATGAATTACTGATACAGAGTAACAGAGATTGGAGTGGAGGAGTTTCTAAGTGTTAACTCATTTTCGCTTAGAAAATCAGTGAAAAACATATAATTTGACAGGGGTGTTCAAACTTTTGCCTACAGCTGTACATGACCAGACATGGTAGTGGTAGTGAGGACAGAGCTAAGTCTTCTTAAATGTATTTCTGTTGAGTTTTGAGAGAGGTTCTTTATTTGTAGTTTGTAGATACAATTCAATTAAATCATCAAACCACAATTGTCGTTTCTGTCTGTAGTATCTTGCCTTAAGTAGAAATGTGTAGAATATTTTGGAAGTGCTAATTATTCATGAGAAGCACCAACTACAACTAGACTGTCGATACTATAAACAAATACACAGTGTATCTGTTTTTGATTATTACGCCTTCCATAATGTTAGGAAGTTGTTTGCCTACAGACATCCAGAAAGGCGATGTCTGACTGCTTGCCTCATAAAAGATGAAATGACAGAGGAAACCCTGCTCTTACGTTTTGCTATAATGAGTATATACTTAATTAAATATTATCACTGTCAATTGTAATCCATAGTAAGATTTTAAAATTGCTAAAGGTGTTTTGGCACAAACATCAATGGATCACAATGCATTTTTATATCCCTACTACATTTGGGCAACTGGCCTTTGCATCCACTGTGATTTGGGCACTAGTTACTGGTTGACCTTGAGATGCAGTTAAGCTGTTTTTGCTCCACTGGTCAGTCTTCTCTCGCCATTTAGATGTTGCTTCCTAAGACGTTGAGTCATTGTACTCAACATCTTATGACGTCAGTTCATTTTTATTCCCAGTTGAAATTCTGTCATTATTCACCTTTTTTGATTCATGTGTGTGATTTCTATACTGAATCTGTTCTTTCTTTCTCTGGGTTCTGTCAGAGAGCGGTGATTTAGTGTTGGGTCCAGACTGCGAGGAGGACTCAGGCTTTCACTGTGATTTGGGGGACTGTGTGGACAAAAGCAGAGTGTGTGATTTCCACTCTGACTGCCCTCTGGGGGAGGATGAGGGCTTCATCTGTGGTGAGTCTGGTATAGTTTCTGAGAGATTTCATTGCCTTTTGACTGCATAATGTTGTGTAATATCTGTTAATCAGCCCTGAGGTGAGGTGAAGATAATGACTGTAGACAGTTAGCAGATTTTGAACCCTCTTCCTAAACTTGCAAAAACAGCTTCTCTTGTTCGTGATACTGTGCAGTATAAAGGAGAAGCTTGTAATTAAGCTGTCACGATTAAGATGTCACTATCAATTATGTTGATAATTGAGTAATCTGCCAGTTATGTTAATGATTGATCACATAATCTGCATTTTGAAAGGCCACATAATAAAAATGACTTAACTGAACAGTTGCAGACTATGCATAGCATTTCAGAAATTCCAGAATACTGCATCTGAAAAAAAATTACTTAAATTAAAATTCATTTAGTAATATAAAGATACTATGTGGCAGAAAATGCATATAAAATATGAAAATGGTTGTGTTCATCAGGGTTTGTTTCTTACAAGAGAGACCTTTAGCAGAATCTAAAATATGCATAATCATAATACAGCTAATCATTTCAGATTCATTGAGAAATTACATTTTAATCTACTTGTAATAGTACTTCTGTTGTATTCTCTTAGAAAGTACGGTTAAAATGAGCTTGCTAACAATTAACTTACTAGATTGTGCTGCACAGTAGGGATGTAAATGATTAGCCATTTAACCATTAACTGACAAATAAACAATGGTTCAATCAGTGCTCAGTTAATCAGTTCATCATATTGATTTAATTTTCAATTATTTTCCAATAATCAACAGTTCCTGTTAGGTGGGTTTATCATTCAAGATGAGAAATATATTTTTATTATATGCATGAGGACGCAATGACGAAACAGATATTGACACAGATATTTTTAATAACATGATCACGTACTTTATTTTTCCTTATGTATTTGTTATCAGATTAACTAGGATACTGTTTGCTCTCTGTGCGTGAAATGTGACTGTGTTGTACTGCTAGTGGGAAATGAGGGACGAAAGGGGAGGGGTCAGAACACAGAACAATCTGCTGTGAAAACAATTCACACAAAAAAAGTCACACAAATCTCCACAGACACATCCACTCAGACGTAAAACAGACAGCGCAACTGCAGCTTTCTTCATATCAAACAATTATAGCTGCTACAATAAAAATACCATTTTAACTTAATAAAACCTTTTTGTAAATATTAACTAAATCCAGCTAGCTTTTGCAAATCAAACATGTTTCCATCATATAAATATTTTTTATTAACATTATAAAAGAAAACAATGCCTAATTTAAATGAGGGCCTTCTAAAGCAGGTAGAAATGCATTTTATGGCTACTGTGAAAGTGACTGAATCCAGATGTGAGTACTCGTAAGTGTACACAAACGAGTATTTTACAAAAGCTTAGAATTGGCTCAGCCAAATAGATTTCAGAACTGGAGCTATTTGTTTTATAGTTAACATATTAATGGATTGCATGCTTGATTTTTCGCATCTCTGCTGCACAGTCGACGCTTATTTCTGGGTTAGACCAGGTTGTCTCTCTCTTTTGAATTGCTATCTTTTCTAAGAAAACACAGATTTTCCATTAACAAATTACTACCTGAAATGTTCACTGGCTTTTCTGTTGCATTTTTCACTACATTTGTACTCTTTATTTTAAGGTCTTTTGTTTCAACTATGAATGGAGCTATTTTCTAATTCATCTACACCTTTCCTCAAAAGCTCCAGCACTCCATAAGAAGTGATTTTTTTCAATTTATGATAATTGAAGCATTCATTTGGATGGACGCCTATGAGTGATTAATCCTGTTAAGATTTGTGAGATCACTTTTGGCAATTTGCATTTCAATGAGCACGCACAGTTAAAGTGTGTGGAGTGGTGTGGTGGGACAGCGTGAGGAGGGACTGCAGAGTCACTGGCAGGCTGTGTGCCATACACATTAGCTGTATTAAAGTTTTAGTGCATGATAAATTGTTAATCCTTTCAGCGAAGGCGGTGGATTAGCCATCCTGAAAGTGCTTCCCTTGCGCTGTCAGAGTGCTGTGTTAAAACTGAAGAACCATGACTGCAGGCAGTCATACATAAGAAGCAGAAATGTGTCAGCTGTGCCTTGATTTAGAAATACTGAGGTCCTTTTTTTGACCACATGTATTCAAAATATCTTAAAGTATGTAATGCTAATGATGACATGCAGTACTGTGTGAAGTTGGACATAGCCCTGCTGTTAGCCATTAAGGACAAGTACAAGCATCAGGAAAAAAGCATTAAAGGTATTTAACAGAAAATTATACAGAAGCCTCAACAGCTAAATATAATATTGTATTTGTCATTATTTAGAGTGTCCACTTTTTGCCTTTATTACAGCTTCCATTTTTTAAGGAAACCTGCTTTCAATTTTTCAAAGAAATCTGCAGGGATATTTTTCTACACCTCCAAAGTTCAGTCTTAGAAGTTGTTTGTATTTCTCTGCTTCTCACGATCCAAATAATCCCACTTACAATTTTTGACTCATCAGTCTGTAAAATCTACTCCACATTTCAGATGTCCAGTTTGTGTTCTGGTGCATTTTTTCATTTTTGCCTTTTTCTTTTTCTCAGTAATGGTTTCTTGACGGCTACACATCTTTCAAACTCATAGTGTTGAGTTATTTTTTCACATTGGAAGGATGGACAAAAAACGTGTGAATTTTTTCAGAACTGAAGCAACAGTGGAGCTTGATTTTCTCCTCTCTCGCAAAGATGAAAGCTATAGGTACTGTTAATCTGACGGTGAGAATTGTGGTGGTCTACCAGGTCCTACACGGTTGTTAGCAGTCCCATTTTCTCTACATCTTTTGATCATGTTTTAAACTTCAGTTTTGCAAACTCACTAATTTTCCTTTAAATCTCTACTTTCTTATGCAAGTGGATTATTTTATATAAAATTTCCTCTGAAACTTCACCTTTAGGCGTTTTACATGCACATGATAAAGAAATTTATGAATGTTAGTGTCTGCTTGAAGGGGAACATCAGCTTTGGGAACATCTTTTGTCAGGAGGACTCAGCTGTAACTCGTTAGTTCTGAGATTGGAAGGATTGAAGAGTTATAGTGGCAGTAGGTGCACTAAGTGGACAAGTTTAATGTTGATGAATTTGATATACTGATACAGTAGCTTCTCATGGTGAGTTTTACCTGCATTATTAATTTAACAAGAACTGATTTATAGACTGTTAAAAAGTAGTTAAAAATAAATAAAGTAGTAATTTAAATGCATAATTCTCTTTTGAGAACTAATAAACCATAACCTAGAGCAAAGTTAGCCTGCAAGTTTCTGCGACTTTTTTTTGCAGCAGCTTGGATGCATCCAGGATAACTAACCAGCACTACAGGCCTCTCTTGCAGTTACAGTTTCACTGCGTGTCTTGTGCTCTAAAAAGTCTGTACCTTGTCTTTGCAGGTAGATTGCCGTTGGGTTCATACTGTTCATTTGAGTCAGGCTCCTGTGGGTGGTCAGCTTCTGATAGACAGTCTTCCTGGATGCTAGCCAATGGTGAACAACTGTCCGAAAGCACTGACCTTCTAGGAACAACACTCCAAAACACTCAAGGTGAATATGTGACTCTAAAGTGGTGAGCGGTTCATTTTATGTTAATCACATACTTCATTTTGAACCATATGAACACCAATAAAATTGAATTTCTTTTAGGCCTGTCAGAGTTATGATGTTATCACATTATCGCAATTATTTGAAACAATCGCAGTTATTTAAACTGACTGCCATCATTTTCCACAGTCGTTAAATTTCACAATCATATTCACTGCAAAAATGTGAAATGGATAATTGAGGTGAGGCAAATATAAATAAGAGGAAGCGGTAAATGTATTCTTAAAGACATCATGGAGTCTAAAACTGTCTGTTTACTTGTTAGCTGTGTAGCTAATTCTAACATTTTTAGCTTGTATGCTAGCAGAATGAGTGTTTTTTTCACAAAAACTTTGTCTCTTCTTTGCCTCTACACATGACTGTATGTAATCATAGACATCTGTGTGAACTTGCTTTGCGACATTGTTAGCACATAATTTTGAAAGTACCACCAGTGATGACTACTGTCTAAACTAGGAAGGAAGATAGCTAATCAGCTGATTTGGGCACTTTAAGTTTGTACTTTAATAGTTGCAAACAATGAACAAGAAAAGACAATGAAATCATTAATCACAGTTAAATGTCATGATCCTAACAATTTTTTTTTGTGATGCAAGTGATACAATAGATAATTATGGATTTATCTGGATGTGCATGAAACACTGAAGGCTTTAATAAGCTGTTTTCATTATGTTGCCCTGGTAATTTCAGTAGCATTGAGCTTTAGACTATTAGGTAGATAGAATCAGTGTGATAGGTCGGAAGGTAAGAGTAGGGGACTCCTATGAGAAAGTTAAAGTGTGAACTGTTGGTAGAAAAATGACTGACTTTTGTTATCTATCACTTTAACTATTGTGTGCTTTAGTCTTAATGTCTAACTAACAAGAGCTGATGGTTCTTTGCACTAGCTTTCATTTGTAGTCATTATCAGGATGCCTACATTTAAGGTATGTTCATCTGTCTTGCATTAGGCAGTGAGTAGCATCAAAACACAGCCCACAAATCAGAATAATTGGCTTAGGCATGCTGGAAAAAGCCACATTAGACAAAACTGAACTCATTTGTATCAAGAATCACAAGTAGATAAATGTTTTAAATCTGAAACCGGTAATGTTGCAGTTCTCTCCATCTCCTTGAATAGATTAATCCCCCAACTCTTGGAAGAAGAGTTCAGTGAGAAAGTCTGTTTTCTTCTCACACAGGAGGTGACATAGTGTCTCCAAGAGGATCCCCAAGAACGAAAAGATGATCCCCCAGATTTCTTTCCACATTTCAGAGATTACATGTACAGTGTAAACCTGTACTTTCAGTTATGAATGTCACTGATGGGACTTTTCCCATAGATGCACTGCATTTTCCAAATTTCTAATGGGAAAATTACTGGCATGTTCTGTAGATACCACTCGGAATTTTCACTTTATGAAATATCCTTGGGAGATGGTTGCAGTGATTTAAGGGCCAGCTGAGAACACTTCAGTATTATGCAGCTCAGCTTGATATTGGCAAGTCAGACTGGGTTTTGGTGCATGCAGCACAGCCGTTCACTTTATGGTTGGCCGGCTGGTGTCCAGCTTTGTAGCTCCAGCTGAGATCTGCTATGCAGCTTTCAAGTGGAAACACGTTAGCTCTTGTCTTTGTGCAAAACGCAGAGGAATAGACAGGCTTGCTTCTCCCTAGTAGAAAGAATACTTCTAAGACTGGTTTCTGATATATTTTTGTACTCTTGTTGAAGAGCAGAGTGTTGTTTGAACATAAAGGAAAAGCCGTTTTGACAACCTTGCAGGGAAAGCCAAGACAGCCTTAACCCTCAGAGGTTGAGAGTTCTTACTTCTGTTTTCCTTTACTGTTCAAGAGTAATGTTTGTGTAATATGTAATTATGCAGTTATTAACATTCAAATTTGACTAACATTCAGAATGATGGTCTCGAGTCTGCACTTTCTCACATTTGTTTCAAAAGATGGGGAGTCAGAGCAAGCACGTTTACTCTCCCAGCTCGGTAGCATTGTGTGATGGGGAGACCTTGGTAAAGGGTGAAACTGGCCATGACTAAACTGGGGGGGAAACTGTGTAAAATAAATAAATAAATAAATAAAATAACAAATATGTTTTTCTTTATGAAAAATAACATTAGGTGCAACAGTAACTTTTGATTCAGTTGAAATCAAAATAAAACTCTCTTCTACTTCTGGAAACAAATGCGCTATTGACTGAAATTTTGGAGTGCACACTTTGGACACAATTTCTCTGCTTGTTTTAGTGACCTATGAGGGAGAGACTCTCATCAAAAAAATCCCTATTTGAGCTGGATTAGTTTTACCTGGTGAGGTGCTGTAATTTGAGCGATTGCAGAGGAGATCTGTGGTAGTATAGCTAAAGCTACATTAAGATAGCTTTTTACAACACAAATATAGCCATTCTATAATTTGTCCAGAGCTCCTTCAGTAATAGTAGTCCTCTTCAAATTGACATCACAGTAGTGTAACAACAAAACCAGACAACTTGAAGGCAAAGCTAACCGCTATAACAGAGCTCGATTTCTTAATCCTCAGGTACATGACAGCGGGCCTCACCCCACACTGAAATGAGATGCAAAGTCTCCTCCCTCATCTAGTGTGGTGTTGTTTTTTTGTTGTTGTTTTTTTTTGGCATGAGACAAGCACCTGTCACATAACGCTGACGTTAACGACCCTCACCTTGTTTGTTCTATCCTTTACAAATCGACAATGCAGTTACACACAGATTACATTACCAGTCCTCCTGTGGTAAAACTAATCAAGCTCGAATAGGACTTTACAACATTCCTTGGTTTTTGCCTGTGATTAATGTGTCTTCTAGGGGTTAAAGGGGAATTCCATAGATTTCGGGTTGAGAGGTAAACAGTCATACACAGTGTTTGGATGTGAAATAGTGGATTGTAGAGACTCTTTCTTCACAGTTGTGGTGATAGGAACCAGGGGTACACCACAAATAAAGCCATTTTAAGTACTACATGAGTCTGAGTTTTTATGTGTAATGTTGATAATGGAAAAAAAGAGAGAATCTAAAAAAAGTTTTTTTTTTATTCTGTACTATTTAGCCTTAAAACACACTGCATGAACTTTTCTGCCATGAATGGATTAAAAAACCTTAGGCCTAAAACTTTATCTCACCTTTATATCACCACCATTGTAGACAACTTAACTCAGTAAGTTTCTCTATAAAGAAGCATTTCAAATCAAATCGCTTTGAATGACAATAACTACATCTTAATTATATAATTAATCAAAAAGTCTGAACAATCAGTGGATTCTCCTTTAAGCTAGATGACCTGTTGAAATGAACTCAAGAGATCTTGATTGTATTAATTACAAACTAAAAAGATTTGGAAGTAACAAATTTGTTTCCTGTATGCTCTGACTTTTATTCCCTTCTAAGGTCACTTCCTGTTCCTAAAGGTCAGAGGCAACGCTAATGGTAACGAGGCATCCATTCAAAGCCCGGCTCTTCCTTCAACTGTATCTAGCCGAGAGTGCCAGGTGAGAATTGGTATGGCTTGGTATGGTTGGGTATGGCTGTCTCTATAGACTAAAGCTTTGTTAAGATAACTTTTAATATCCTCCATAACAGTGCTCATATACTATATGTCCAAATGTAGCCAGACAACTCTTCTAATAAGTCAATTCAGCTACATTAACCTATTAAATGGAACATCTTGCTGGTGATCCTTTCTGGGAATTTGGCGGTGGCTCTTTGAACTTCTTTAAATCTGCTTCCAGAGGAATTTTGAATGACCATGCTGGCCTGAGTGAACGCGTCAGCATGTAGAATCAGAGCTTTTAGAATGCTGTTGCTTTTCTAACGATGAATAAGAGAGGCTTGAGGCCTCCTTTATTTTTTGATGCATTGAGATTTTTTTTCTGAGTGAGCATACAAGCTCATTCAGAGTGCAGTTTGAATCGGTAAGCGCTTATTATTGTCTTGTTTGATCAGAGTAATGATAATGTTTGACTTATAGTCCAGTGCCTGTGTTTTCTTGTTCTGGAAGGTAGTTTGTGGGACAAATTAAATAAAAAAAAAATCTACTAATTTTTTAGCTGGTAGATTACATTCTTTACATATCAAATAAATGCAGCAACAGCACTTCATGTTATTAATGAAGAAAAGCGGATTCAACAGCAAAGTTGCCACGCGTTTGTGTCAGTCTTTAAAGGTTAAGGTGCACCCATTGTTAACATTGGCATTTAATTAAATTCTCCACAGAGAAGCATTGCCAATAGAGCTCTGGAGCACACATGCATGAGCCTAAGATCACTATGCCCAGTGCCAAGCAGGGCTTGATACGGACATAAAATGCGATAAAGTTATTGGACACATAAACAAAAAAATAACCTCTTCTTTAAGCAAGTAGCAAACAAAAAAACACAAAATTACAAAAGCACCATTCACTATAGTGTGAAATAATGTAATACTAATAGCTAATTACATCAAAACTGGAAGCACATTTTTGTTCATTATAAAGATGTCTACACGCTAGAAACTGACATGCCTGTATGCAGAGAAAAGTTAACACATCAAGCATTTAAAAGTTTAAATCAGGTTAACTTTGGCTGCAACAGATTCTGACATAGAAGCATGTCAGTCAATGAAAACATGCATGAGCGAGCGAAGAGTCTGATTTGCTTGCTTGAATTCGAACCATACAATCTCTGGCCCTGCTCTATCCTCGTAGGCTTCTGGGCTGAACAAGGACACTACTGCGAAGCACTGCTATGAAGCATCAAAAGCTATTTGACTGCTAGTGGTGCCCCCTTGTGGAGCATTTGTAGCTTACGAAACATGAGTTCCATTTTAAATTTAATTTCTTAAAAAGCTCCATTTGGTAATGCAGGTTTGTCGTGACAGTTGCCGTTACTGCTCATATATTTTACCATACAGTAAGTGCATTTAATACCCAACCCTGAGAGTGAGAGTAGTCATCAAGGTTCAAGCATTTTTACAGGCTAGTAGTTCAGGATAGAGTAATTTTCCCCATCATTGGGCTGTAAAGCAGTGGAGCTGTATTGTCTGGATTGAAGGAGCTCCATTCAGTACCAATACCAATTTGGTATGAGTTGGAGTTGCGTTTGTGATCCAGAACTGAACATCAGTTGAACTGAACATCAGCGCCATCATTCAGCATTAATGAGACAGCTGTGCTTTTCCTGAAGTTAGAGCCAGTAAACGATGGAAAAGTAATACATCTGACCTTTTTTCACCTTCATCTCACTCTAATAACGAGCAGCTGAGAGCTGTTCAAAGCTAATTATCTTTGCGACAAGGGCTTATTCCGCTGGTTAGTTTGTTTGCTGTTTGTGACGCATGTGGTTCATTCATGTGACATTACTGATTAGAATGTGCGCATGCGGGTCTGTTCAGGACGGCAGTTTGTTCACATTAATGACAGATTTGAGTCACCTACAAAAATTTGAACCATCAAGTTAGAAGGATCGGATCTGAGCAAAAATTAGGAATTAAGTAACAAGGCTTGTAATATGAATGTAGCCTAAGGCTCTTGTGACTGAATACAATCATAGCAATGTTCCAACATCTAGTGTAAAGGATTTCCAAAAGAGTAGAGCAGACTCTGTAAGTGCAGCAAAGGGGGAGCAAACTCCCTAGTAATACCCTTGACTTCAGAAGAAATGTTGGATGAGCAGGTGTCTAGTAACATTTTGGCATATAGTGTATATGTACTTCATGAACTAAGGAGAAGTACACAGCGGTCCTCATACACTAATTTGTATCTTTTCTTTAAATTTATGTTTTTTTCAATACAGGGGTATGCTTTTGGATACACAGGCGTGTTGTATTTTAGTTTACATCAGTTTACAATTAGCTGTTTGATTCTGCTCACATTACATTTTATGATTGACGCATGCACAGTCCTGCCCATCTGAAGACATTTACTAAAAATTGTTTTTCTGATTATTCTGATTATTATATATACAGTATATATACACACACTGAAATATATATATATATATATATATATATATATATATATATATATATATATATATATATAAATGTTATTGACTATGTTGTCCCATCTTTAATCCATTTTGGTATGTAGTTGCACTTCTCGCTGTATCTGTACGGAGATTTTAATGGCACAGTGCTGCTGTCGGTGGTGGAAAACGGTACTGCAGCGACTCCTTTAGTGTGGGAAAGGGCTGGACAGTGGAACGACGATTGGCAGGACATCACTCTGCAAGTCACTGACCTCCTAAAAGGGTAATGGAGATGCTGCATTTTATTTAACACGCCAAACAAAAGAAGTGATTTACTTATTTTTCTTGTATTTAATTTTTTTCCCCAAAGGGCCACTTATGTGTGGTTTTATGTACCAATATATAATTTTCTTAACTAAAATGAGTTATATTTGCAGCACAATTTCCATTTATGAGCTTTGTGGACTTGAAAGTGGATGGTATGTTTTGAAACTTTAACAGTGTTTGCATACTACATGAAACTTTTATTTCCAAATATTTATCGATTTCGCTGATATGGGCCTTTTATGCTGAATTCATTGTGGCTGTGATCATACGTCTCGACTAAGCCACCCTAGTTGGTAACTGAAATGAATGAAGTTTATTAGATGTTTATCTTCATCACGTCCTCAACCTTTGTTTTATTTGTTTTGACTGCAGGTTCCATATAAAAGTGCAGGCTCTGTGGGCCACCGGCTCGAAGGCTGACATTGCACTGGATGAAATTTCATTAAGTGCAGCATGTTTTGACACAGGTAACCTTTTACCCACGAAACACACACACAAATATACCATCGTAGTCATGAGACTCTATCAACTCCACTTTTTCTGTTTTTGTTTTTTCTTTACAACATCTAAAAGCACCAGCTGCCCTTTACATTGTGCAAACATTTCATGACAGTTGGACCAATAGAAAATTTGAGAAGTTGGTTTTCATAGATATTTCTTTTTCTTATGACAGCAATGCATATTAGATCTGTTATTCCTGTGTTTAAGGTAGTGTTTCTCAGACAAATGGTGATAGTAAAAAAAATCTACAGTATGTGGCTGTAAACACATATTCAATAAATAAGGTACTAAACAGACGTATAGCACTGTATCGCTGAATTTAGGCTATTGCATAAAATAGCGTCCACTAATCATAGGCATTGATGAACCTCTCTATTGCATAGTTATTGGGTGTTTGACCAGTACTGACTATGTAGTGATTCAAACTAGTGCTGCATGATATAGACACATTTTCATATTGTGATTACATTGGTATTATTCTAAAAGAATACCGCAGTACCAGTACCACCATTTTTAAATTTTGGTGCCTGTTGAAAATGTTTTAGCTAGCCTAGTAAGTGATACACACACTATCTCTGCCTTCTCATTCACATCCATAACAACATGTCCTTGGCAGTGCGCTCACTTTCGAGCAAAACTGTCTTACTTTACAGCGTTGTTAAAACATCACATTGCAGTTGGACTGAATTTTTAACACTTACTATGATGGAGTGTATTCGAATGCTGATTTTCATTGTTCAAATGCTGGTTTGATTTTGTTTTGCCCTGTTGCTCCCATGATACACTAGAAAAAATGAAATGATTAGAACAGAATATTAAAGCGTTCATAATGTTGAAATGTTAAAGCAGTAAGCTGCAAGAGGCTGTGTGTTACTGTGACTTTATCATGGGTAAGGGGTGTTATTGGGCATGTGTGTATGAGTAGCAGAATAACACTACCTTACCTGTGGTAAAATCACTGTAATATCTGAAGTGAGACAACAACATAAAACAGGATAAAATGCTCCATTTCTCTCTAAATATAATATATTATAATTAAAAACAATCGCAGTAGACAATGCCTCCACCAAGAAATGTACTTAGCTTTTTCAATGAGTAAAGCAATAAAGTGACTGTTGTCTTTTTTTTTAAAAAAAGGGATCTGAACTTTAACTTAAAATAAAATTACTAAAATTAGCATTAAATTCATCACAGAAACACTTAAATGTATGTGTCTGCGTTTAATATGGTGGTTTTGGCCTGTCCCACCTCACTGACATTGAACTTCTCTGACAAATGTGTTCATTAATATCTTCCAGTAATGCCATAATTACAATTTTATAATTTCCAAGTATGGGTTATTTGGTTAATTTTCTAATAATATATATATATATATATATATATATATATATATATATATATATCAGTTAGCATGCAACATGTGCAACCTGTAAAGCTAACCACTCCTGAATGCTAGCTTATTTGCTTTTTTGAGTTCTCAACCCTGTTACTTGCAACTCTGTTACCCAATTTTTTAACCTTTATTTTTAAACGAAAACGGCTTGGAAAATGGCTTGAAACAGAACCAACTAGATGTGGTGTATAATCTCTCTGTTCAATCCTGCTACTCGCTTCAACCCTGTTACCAAGTCTTTTAAGATGAAAATAGCTCATGAAGTATCTGATTTGACAGCCTGAGGTGGGAAAATAATATTTTGTAAGCTTAAGCACTTTCTTTGACTAATACATGTAAAAGTTTAAAGAGTTTTGAGATATAATATGAACTCTATTCATGGAAAGTGCCAGCTGTTTTAGAGTAGGCTGTTGTTGCCAAGCAACCATGGATTGCCGAAGGAGAACAAGAACTTTTAAGTTGCCTATCATTTTATTACATTTTTAAATTATTATTTACATTTTTTAAAGGTTTTTACAGTCATATAATAATGAAAATAGCAAAATAAAGAAGTGTTTAATGTAGAATCCTTTGCCTTTTACGTAGTTTTTTCTCATCAAATTACCACTGCAGCAATAGTTCTCATTTCTGGCTAGCATCTTGTAGCATCTGGTATTGTGTTAGCATAAAACTAACATTTGTTTTCTCACACTAGTTTTAATACTGTTTCTGGCAGATCTAGTCAAAAAACATGCTTGAAGCACATTCACACATTTGCGGTTTTACAGTGAGTCATTCAGTAAATGCTTCAGTTCAAAGCCTAGTACTGAATATTAAAGGAGGAGCAGTTTAGTCTGTTTAGCCTCTTATCTTTTAGCATAGTTATTAGGAAAAGAATTCAAATAAATCATTTCCTCTGTTTAAACAAAACCAAATTCTATAAGTATATTCAGTGGTCATGCAAGCAACAGTTCATTCACAGAAGTATAGTTTTAGTGACTTTTGTGCATAAATTCAAAATTCATTTTGTATGCATTTATCAAGTATATTACAACAGCTTTGAATACAGCTCAGCTAATTATGTTAAATTATATTAAATTTATTGGAAGTGTACAGTGTTCTGTTTTCATTTTTTTAAGTAACTGCAAAATCTTATGCAGTTCTTTTTATAGAAATGTTGGGAAAAGATCACTTTCCCTTTCATTTTATCAGTCATTTGAGGCAATTAATTTATTGCCAAGTTATTGTTTTGATATTCGATATTAAGGTATCACAGCTGGTATTGGTTCTGAAGTCAAAATATATAGATTCAATGCTATATTAGTATTGTAATAATTGAAAAACGATATATGGTGCAGCCAGCCCTACTAACTAACAGAACACTCACTAAAAGTTTCTGCTGCATGTCGAATCGGAGACAGAAATCAGTTTTGAAAGGGTAAACATGCTCATGCAGTTTCATCCTCTGTAGCAGTAGGAGGCGTCTCTTACGAAGCTCATGATGCAGTTCCCGCTTGATTAGTTCTGAAAGGTGGGGAAGTCAATAAAAAAATTCTTTCCTTTCGCGTTCCCTTCTCACAATGCAGCAATTCTCGTAAAGACACTCGTCATGTATTGCCAATGCATGACTGTGGTGCTTGAGGCAGGACATTGCCTTGTGAGCTCTTTCATTGGCGACGTGATGTATTAAGCAGGCATGTCTGCCCTACTATAGTCCAGCATTTCTCGGAACGCTGTGGTTTATCGTTCCCAAAGCGCTGAGAAACGGTGGCGTGGACCTAAACCAATGACCTGCTTTCTATTCTGCGGTTAGCCGCACACGCCGGTGGTCCTGTTGAGTCAAGCTTTATTATTTATCGTTGTCCATAAATACAATAGAGCCTTTGTGAAATTCCTAAGATATCTGATCGTTAAATAATGCCTCCTAAATTGCCGCTCCCTTTATCGCACTCATCTTCCGTCCTCCTCGCTTCTCTTCTCACAACTCTCCAACTCTTGTCACGCTCTCCAATTCTTACAGACCTCCTCCTTCATCTTTTCCAGGCATCCAATAACTCATCTGCAGGCCCATGTACTCACAAAGCAACTTAATGCTTTATATCTCACTGATCTGCTTATCAAGTCCTTATCTTTTTATGATAGCATATCATCACAAGCGCAAGGTCTGGAATGGGATGTTCAACCCTAATGCCATCATTCTTTCATCTATCTCTCTTTGCGCTCTTTATCTCATGGCTTTAATCTGTCTGATTTTATCAGATTTGAATGCACTGCTTTTTGGACATCAAGATTTGGACTCCATCAGCAAGCTGGACTTCCTGAGCCCCCTTCCTGAGCCTTCTGTAACAGGTACAGTGAATTACTCTGATGGCATGATAAAATGCCTCTGTAATGAAGTTTCTTTCCAGGACCAAAGCTCAGAAATTCTCTAAGCAGGCACACTTCTCCAGCTAGAAGCTCACAGCACAGAAAAAGCTCAGATGTACAGCATTGTGCAAAAGTCTTTAGCCACCTGAGAAAATTATATTTAGTGCTTTATCTTGTCAATAAGCTCAGTAAGTTGTCTAGGAAATACATGAGCATCAGTGCCAGTGTGGTTTAGCTGTGTAGTGTGTTTTACAATTTTGACAATTGCCATAGTTTATAGTTGGTCATTTTGCTTGTCAGTCAAATGACCCTCCTTTAAAAATAGGCTTTTCTTGGCAATGAGAAGCAATAAAGCTTACCAGATTCTTTGGCTAGTCCAAACCACTTATTCTACAAAAGCCTAAAATTAAATCTCTTGGCATGTTTGCTTTGATTGATACGAGTTCTAGTGCGATTGCATGAGTTCTAGTGTGATTGCGCACTGCATAAATGGACCGAGACACTCTGAAGAATTGACCGCAGCCTGCTTCCAAACAAACTGTGGAGCTGTTTGTTTAAAGTATGAATGCAAAATGGCATCTAAATGAAACAAACACTGATGGAACTGTTATTTCCTGTCTGCAGAACGTCTTAGGTACATGGAAAAGATTAATTTCTGATACTGATCTGATGATGATTCTGATGACACGTGTGTTTCATCATCTGTTCATAAACTCTGTCTCTGAATCTATAGATTGCGTAGTTTTGGTTTTAAAACGTGACTGAGGCACATTCGAAGCACTTATAAAATACTTGATGTACACAAGTCACTGCACAGATCAATTATGTTATATATGAATGTAACATGTTTTCACTGCTTCATAAAAACAGTATTACTTGATGTACACAAGTCACTGCACAGATCAATTTTGTTATATATGAATGTAACATGTTTTCACTGCTTCATAAAAACAGTATTAAAGCTGTTATGTTTTCACAATGATTTTACGCCATTTTGTGCTGTGGAAAAACACACAGCCTCTTTCTGCAGATAACTTCAGAAAATCACAAGGTGTAGATGGATAAACAAGACAAAATATAAAACCCACAAGCACCTCTAAGTACAACATGGTTATGAAAGCTCATTGGATATTATTGCATTTAATATTGTCGCCAAATAAATTTTGCTCAATCAGGTGTGATTTTTTTTACCCAGTACTTTTTTTTTACACCTTTTTATGCCAATGTCAAATATGTAAGTGTGAATGCTAAGAGAATTAGAACTAAAATGCAACAGTTTATTATTTTCTTCTTGGGTCCGGACCAAGGAAACTGAACTAAAACATGTTTTTGACTGTCATTTCTGTGTGTCTTAATACCTGCTGCCAGGTACCAACTAAATTATTTCCAAAGAGGCTAGATAGGCTATTATAGCACACACAACCCGCTGTTCGCAGCACACATCGTTAGTGTAGAATTCAGCTATAGGCTACATGTAAACAGCGACATAAAATGATATCTAAGATGTTATTTCCTTCTGTATACATAATTCATAAAAAAACAAGCATTTTTGATAGAAGAGGTTATGGAGTTTTATTCGCTTTAAATTTGGGGTGTGGTGAATTTTTTTTCCAGACATTGTTTCTGACAGGATTTTAATTTGTCAGACTTGCAGAGCTTTTTCCAGTCAAACAACAGTATTTTGGAAACAAGAAATTCTTGTTAGTATTAATATTTCTTTATATATTCAATGTCATATACTGTTTTTTTTTCAGGTGTCCTAAGTCTTTTGCACAGTACTGTACAAGGTTATTTTTATAAGTCCTATGAGCCACAACAAAGAAGACTGTTAACACACACACGCACACCTTCTAAGCCGCTTATCCTTCCGGGTCACAGGGGGAGCTGGAGCCTATCCCAGCAGTCATTGGGTGGAAAGCAGGATACACCCTGGACAGGTCAGACTGTTAACATGTTAACATTATATTTCAGAGTCACAGATGACCTGGTGGTTCACTTCCTGTGGGGCAAGTGGACCTCGTGGACCCACTCAGGCCCAATGTGACAGCGCCTATCGAAACACTAATGTTAGTGTGGTGGTGGGGAAAGAAGGCCCTCTCCGGGGTGTCCAGATGTGGAGGGTCCCTGCAACCAACCGATACAAGTAAGCAGCGCACTAACAACAAGCTTTAAACCTTCTATATGACCATAAGAGCCTTAAGGGACAAGTTTAGCCAAAAAAAAAAATATCATATTTGGATGATTTTTTTTAAATGTAGTTGATCAGCCAAGATGTTTGGTGTCTGAAGAGCTCATCAGAATCAACATGCAGCATCTAATGATTGACAACTTTAGCTCACGTTTATTGTATTCACTGACTTCTTCTTTTGTTTAAAAGGATGAGCATTTAGCTGACTGAGCACTTGTCATAGACAAGTGTCACAGACTAAAATTTTAATCAGAACTCAAATTAACTTTCTGTTGGAACCTGAGCTGAAGCACACCAAATTTTGAGTCTGAAACTGATATTTAAAGCTGTAGCTGTTACGTGTCTATTCAACTTCCTGCCTATTCACAAATTGATTTTGCATCGCCTGAGACCAAACAGAAAAAAAATCCCATTATGTTTGTTATATGAAACAGAGCCAGGCCACTTCTGGTAACCCAGCTTTGTTTCTGTTATAAAATGTGTGCTTTGAATGAAGCACATAATAAATTTCACACATGTATCAAGTGTATTTTAGACCAGAAATGATAACCACATTGCTTCTGCATTGCACTGCTGCTGTGCCACTAGCAGCATTCTCCTTTGTTAATCTGTAGTTTTATTTGAGCTGTTTATGGTAGAAGTGCAGTTTTTTTTTTTTACAGCTCACACATAGCATGCTTTGTTTCACAACTGGTGTCAAAACAAAAGCACTGCAGCTACATATTACTTTAGCAGGCCTTAGTTTATTTTCATTTTCGAGTAATGGATTACTGGAAATGCTTTTCTATTACAGTGCTTGAGGACCAAATTACTCGCAATACCCATCTCTGCTTTAGTTCTCCCTTTTTTCACTGTCTGTCATACCATGTAGCCTGTGGGCACTTACAGTAGAACCGGAGCTTATTCTTTCAAAACTGTCAAGATTGATTGTCACAGCAAACAGGTTTGGGAGGGCGTGTAACCACTGGGAGATGAGCTTTCCCCCTACTCATCCTTCACATCTGCCTCTCTCTCTCTCCCCTCTTCTCTCTCTCCTTCTGTTACACACGTGTGCATACACACACTCTCTTTCTCTTGAACACAGCAAGTATCCGGTGACTCATTGGCTGAAGGCATAGATTAATCTGTTTCTGCACTCCACTTAATCTGGCCCCTGCACTGCAGAGCCTTTGAACTGATTTGCTGTGATTGCCAGGCTAGTCCTGTGAACTTATTACAAGCTGCTAAGATGTGCCAGGGAGGCGGGCGAAGAGTGAGAAACTAGCCAGAAAGAAAGACAGATGGCTGCTTCTTTGCTCTCAATCACTAGGCCTTTGAGCTTTAAAGGCTGTCAATTGAGCCCCTCTTTAACGGCAGAGCACTGTCGTGAAAAATCTGGCAAGTAGCTAATACAGCTAACTGAGCCTGTCCCCCTTCATTAGGCAAAGTATTTTAAAGTGTGGTGTATGTTTTTTTTTTTTTAAAGTGCCCTGAGCCACAGCTGGTGTTAATCAAAAATGTTTAGACTTCCCTCTAAACATATAGGCTTTTTCTTTTTGTTGCACTGATAGTCTCTCTCTTGTTGTATAATGGATATGTTAATGGACCTTGATTGTAAATATTATATCATATTCATGCTTATGCTAATCCTAATCCCAGCAGATCATAGCTCAGGGTTTGATGGGAGAAAAGCAGGATGAATTCCTGTCAACTCCGTCTATGCAAGCCATATAAATGGCTTTTACCATGTAAACTGTACATTTGTAAGTCACAATGTTCAAACAAAAGCAGAACACATATTTGTTCTTAATTTAAATACTCAAGTACTCATTTGTTAAGCAGTTTCTTTTCTCTTTTTAATACCCAGAAGCTTTACCTTTTTAAGCCACAGAAATTGTAGCCTAAAATAAATCCCATCAGCAAAGGCCCTTAGATAGAGCGGTTAATGTTAGTATAAGGAAAATGCTGAAAAAAGAAATAATTTACTGGTTTTGTTTAAAATACATCATAAATTCATGCTAGACATCTCGCTGTCACCTCACCTCAGAGCACAACAGACTGCACCACTTTCTGCATTTGTGTTGAAGCTAAAAGAGCACAAGATGCCTCAAAAAAGATGTGGGGAAACCCTTACATTATTGGACAGTAAGAAAAATGCTTCAGTGCAAAATTTGCTATAAGTTTGATGAATCTTCACAAATATATAAGAAAAAAATCAGCTCTTTTCTCTCCTTGTCTTTTCTAATAAAACATTTTAATAGCAGGTGTAAAATTAACAGCACAAACAGCAGATCTGTTTATGTGAAGAAATCCTGATTACATGAGAAGAAATTCTTCCACACAGTTAGTACCACACAGGAGCTGCTCTGCAACTACCACACAAGCAAGACGATCACATATTAGTAAATTATTATTTTTTAAATAGAGTTTAAACACTATAGAAAGTTTAAATGTGTGATTTGACTGGATCTCCATGGAGTATATACAACTCCATTTCCATAAAAGTTGGGACGCTGTGCAGAATGTAAATAAAAATAGAATGCAATGATATGCAAATCATATAAACCATATTTTTAAAGGAAAGTACCAAAGACAACATATCAAATGTTGAAACTCAGAAAATGTATTGTTTTTTTAAAAATATATGCCCATTTGATGGCAACAACAAGTTCCAAAAAGTTGGCACAGGTGCATGTTTACCTTTCTTTTAACATCACTCTCTAAGCGTTTGGGAACTGAGGAGACCAAATGCTGTAGTTTTGAAATTGAAATGTTTTCCCGTTCTTGTTTGATACAGGATTTAAGCTGCACAACAGTTCTGGGGCTCATTTGTCATATTTTTAATTTCATAACCCTCCAAATGTTTTCAATGGGTGACAGGTCTGGACTGCAGGCAGGCCAGTTTAGCACCCGGACACTTTTAATATGGAGCCATGCTGTTGTAATCTATGCAGAATGTGGCTTAACATCGTCTTGCTGAAATAATCAAGGCTTTCCTTGAAAAAGACGTCGTCTGGATGGCAGCGCATGTTGCACAAACATGCATATATCATTCCACATTAATGATGCCTTCACAGATGTGCACGTCACCCATGCCATGTGCACTAATGCACCCCTATACCATCATGAATACTGGCTTTTGAACGGTGCACTGATAACAAGCTGAGTGGTCTTTAGCCCGGAGGACACAGTGTCCATGATTTCCAAAAACAATTTTAAGTATTGATTTGTCGGACCACAGGACACTTTTCCACTTCCCCTCAGCTTCCATTTCAAGTGAGCTCAGGCCCAGAGAAGGTGGCAGCATTTCTGGATCCTGTTTATATACAATTTCTTCTTTGCATTTTAGAATTATAACTTGCATTTGTGGATGTAGCGACAAACTATGTTCACAGGCAGTGGTTTTCTGAAGTGTTTCTGAGCCCATGCAGTGATTTCCACTACAGAATTATGTCTGTTTTTAATGCAGTGCTGCCTGAGGGCCCAAAGATCACGGCCAGCAAATACTGGTTTTTGGCCTTGTCCCTTGCATGCAGAGATTCCTTCAGATTATCTGAATCTTTTAATGATATTATGTGCTGTAGATGATGAAAAGCAAACGTTCTTTGCTATTTTATGTTGAGAAAACTTATTCTTGAATTGTTGCACTATTTGATCATGCAGTCTTTCACAGAGTGGTGAAACCCTCCTCATCTTTACTTCTGAAAGACTCAGCCTCTCTGGAATGCTCTTTTTATACCCAACCATGTTACTGATCTGTGGCCAATCAACTACCAGGTGTTTTTTTTTTGCATTACACAACTTTACCAGCCTTTTGTTGCCCCTGTCCCAACTTTTTTGGAACGTGTTGTTGGCATCAAATTCAAAATGGGCATATATTTAAAAAAAAAACAATAAAATTTCTCAGTTTCAACAACATTTCAACATATGTTGTTTTTGTACTATTTTCAATTAAATATAGGGTTTAAATGATCTGCACATCATTACATTTTGTTTTTATTTACATTTTGCAGGGCATCCCAACTTTTTTGGAAATAGGATTGTACTTTATTTACATGCAATGTGAAAAAAATTGTGTTTTGAACCACAGGATCACAGCCTATGGAGCTGCTGGAGGCAAAGGGGCAAAGAACCACAACAAGCGCTCACATGGGGTCATCATTTCAGCCATCTTCCCACTGGAGAAAGGGGACATCCTCTATCTCCTGATCGGTCACCAGGGTGAAGATGCTTGCCCAGGAGTGAGTACAGCCATCATTCACAGCAGGAGTAACAAAACAAAAACAAAACAAAAAATGCAATGTCTCACCTTTCTCACATATGTTCACTGAAATGATGAAATGAAAATCCTAACTTGTTTTTTTTTTCTTTTACATCATGTAAAAGAAGGCCATTTCAAAATTTCATTACCATATGTTAAAAATGTTCTCCTATTTTCTGCTGTAAAGATTTGCCAATATGAGATTTTCTCACAACAAAAATGTGTAAGCTTGCTGTAGCCAGTGTTAGAAATAACCAGGGGCGAAAAATACCTTACATGGAATAAATCAATATGAACGAATTAAATGTAATGAATCATTATGTCACTATTGCTCTAATAAACCACTTTGTTCATTCCTTTGCCCACTTTTCTTAACAGCATAAACATGTTTCTTAGTAGATAAAATCCTGTACAGAAAAGTCTTATGCAGTTCACCTATGATCATATGTGAAAAAAACACATTCACAAATAAACATCACATATATAAGATGTGATAATGTGACATCATGTGATGTCATGTAAATAATACATGATCATGTGACACCATATGAATGATATATGAACACGTGATAGTATGAAATTAATTAAATTGTGAACAGAGTAAATCCCTTACAGAAAACTCACATGTACAGTTACGTAAAGTGTCTAAAAACACGTGTTCACAAACAACATCATGTGAGTAGTGTGATCATATGTGACATAATGTGATCACTTGATGTGATCACGTGGCATCATGTGAATATGTGACCACATGACATCATGTGAATCATGCGAATAGTATGCGATCATGTGACATAATGTGAATATGTGATCGCATGTGACTTTATTTGAATGTGATCACGTGACCGGGATGTTCAGGATGAACTGCGCCTCGCCTTTGCGGTCGGCGAAGGTAGCTGGTTGCAGTTGGGGGACGAGGTAAGAAAAGAGTCGCCAGGCAGACAGTTTTACTGGCAGCGCCTAATGTGAGCCGCCAGCTTTTGTGGCTTTCAGATACACATTTCTTTGAGAATATGAATTCAAAATTTACATTTGAAAACAATATCCCCAAACACAACACAGTTTGTGTCCACATGTTTGTCGACTGAGCTTCTAGCCAATGAGGATTAAGCTCCGTCATCATCAAGCTGTCTGGCTCTGAAAACTGCAGTTGGCTTGCTCCCATGAGATAACAGTATATTTCATCGCGATGTGATCATGTGACATAATGTGATTGTGTGACATCATGTGAATAATATGTTCATGTGACATCATGTGAATACGATCACATGTACCATCATGTCAATAATATGATCATGGGAACATCATGTGAATGCGATCACATGGGACATCATGTGATCACATGTGATGTGAATATTTTATCGCATGTAACGTGAATAATGTGATCATGTGACATCATGTGAATAATATGTGAGGACATATGACATCGTGAAATGTGAGGTAGGACACAAGTGAAAGGTATCGGTGAATGAATCATGATGTGAGAAAAATAAAATATGCATCACATGAAAAGTCCACATGTGGAAAAAACTATTAAAAATATGTGCAATGTGAAAACATGTAATTGATCATGAGTAAAATTCATGTGTTTTTCTGTAAGGGATGGACCGCTATGACATATGAGAAGTTGCAGCAAATGAAGACATCTCGAAACACGAGCGCTCACCATCAGCAATTCTATTTTTTTTTTTATGAAATAGACATTTTGAATCTATACACAGCACATTTGTAACTTCTATGCTGTTTACATTGTTAGTTAGTATAGGTGGTTAGCATTTTCATTCAATTATAATACTGTTTTGAATATATACGCACTGTGCCCCCATTTCAGTCAAAAACTACCCCTTAGAAAAAAGTATTCTTTTCCACCCTGGCTGCAGCTCAGATTATTCCTAACTTTCTCATCTCTCTTCCCTGTTTCTCTGCAGAGGAACGCTCTGACCCACAAGATCTGCCTGGGTGAGTCGACTGTCATTGAGGACGGCTTTGACAGAGATAGTTCTGCCATGGAATGGGCCGGGGGTGGTGGTGGCGGTGGGGGAGCTACGTTCATTTTTCAGGTAAACTTTTCCGTTCCTTCCTTTCCCCCTCTTCTCTTCTCACGAACACGTCCCTTCAACCGAGTGACACTGCCTAAAGGAAAGCATGTGGACAGCAGTCTCTGCCTCATTGTGCATGTCTAGACAAGCATTTTTTAGACATGCTGAAAGTATTTGGAGCCATCTGAACTGGGCCGCAGATGGAAATGGGGATGGTCTGGGATGATAACAGTGGTTTGAGTTTTTCTTTGAGGTGACTTCTTTCTTTTTCTTGGGATGCCCGGGTGCAGTTGGAGGACGGGGAGCCAGTGCCTCTGCTGATAGCAGCTGGTGGGGGTGGGAAGGCATACCTGGAGGACCCCGAGAGCAGTTTGGACCAGATCCCTCTGGAGCAATATGAGAATGACACGGTGGCAGCTGGGGTCAATGGCCGAACCGGAGCAGCAGGTCTTCATTTACTGCACCTCACTTTTATCCCTTCTACACAAGATAGGACTGTTAGTTATGTTAGCTATTGAGTAATCTACTGATTAACTGTTTAGGCCAAAAAATAGCCATAACTGAATGATAACAAGCTTCACATAAGCTTTAAAAGATTCCAGAATATTAAAAAAAAACCATAAACTAGGAAGTGTTTAAAAAAAATTCTAAAAACACAAGAAATCAAAAGACTATGTGGCAAAAAGTGTGTAAAAATGAAGTCTAAAAATGTTGAGAAAAATAAGTTAAAAAAGCATTATCATCATGTGAACTAACACCTTATCATTGGATTTGTTTAAAACATTGAATTTGCATGTGTTTCATGTCCTGATCATATCTAGATATACTTTGGCTGGATTTCATTTACACTTTTCCCTAAAATGTGACCAGATAAGATCAAATGTAACTTTTCCACATAAAAGCATATCGACACATATGTTGTTTCCATATTTATTTATTTTTTTAATGTTTACTTTTCCTCCCTGTTACATACAAATGGACAGATTTTACTTGGATGCTTGGATCAGACGGCAGTAAGGCTCTTGGTTTTGGGATAACTCCAGCCTTGTGTATCCTCCATCAGTTGTTTAGTTGTTTATCCTTTCACCTGCCAGTCAGCACTCGGCAGATGAATTTATACTTTTGTTATTGTATATGGATGTGGAAGACAAGATTTGTCTCTTATTCGTCCTAGACTGCCTCTGAATGTGGTTTGAATGACCCAGTCATAATCCAATCACAATGCTCCCTGGATGTGTTCACACTTGGCATTTCACGCGGCTAAATAAAATCCAAATGTGATCGCTCAAAACGCTTGTGGATGCAGGGTTTAAACAGCCTCATTGTGAGTTCATTGAGAAAACATTGACAAAAACCAACTGATCATCTTCAAACACAATAAAACAGTCCTTTCTTTACATGCTTAAACTCTGTTCACTGCTGTCTGAGGATCTAATTGGATCTTTCCATGATGGCTTAACTGGATATTATTTCTCTGTTGATGTTCACTGGTTCCATAATTCAAACATCCCCAGAGGGTGGATCAAAATGTTATTATTACTGTCACGCCTCCCTCCAGCTCTGTAGTCAGTTACTCTCTAGACACTGATCCTCTCCCGGACTCCAACTCCCACAGTCCATGTGAAGCTCATCGTACCTCCATCAGCCAGTCAGCCACCACTTTCCAGGTCCCCGTCACCTAAATTCTAACCGGCCGCACTTCACTGTCATCAACTTCACGCTTATAAAGACGGCTTCTTTCTGTTCATTCAGGGCAAGGTACTGCCACTGTTGTTCTAGTGCATACTGAGCGGTGCTACTCTTTGTTCAGGCTTGTTTTTTGACCTCGGTTTTTGTCTTTGTCCTTCTTGGCTTAGTCTGCTTATTCACGTGTTTTGCCTTTCGGTGTTTGACCTCTGTTTGGTTCTCGACTATCTCTTTGATGTCTCTCATGATTGTTGTTGGCCTCTCTCTGGTTTTAACCCTGACCTGTATTACTACGTCGCATTTGATTGAGCCTCATCACATGAAAGCCTCTATGTTTTGTTTTAACCGCGAGTGTCTGGTCTGTTCTGCAACTTTACAACATTAGTGCTTTATTGCAAGCTTTGAGACAGATACTGTAAGAAATATTTCACTTTTTGCCGAGTTGTGGTTCAGTTTTGGCCCATTCCTCTCTGTAAACCATCTTCAGTTACCCAGTGTTACGAGGGTCCCTCTAAATTTTTTAGTAGAATTCAGGAGTCAGGAGACTGGTTAGGTCATGCAAGCAACTTCAGGCCATGCAACCAGTTTTGAGTTATTTTGGCTGTATGTTTTGGAATGTCTTGTTGAAAAGTTTACAAGATTCAGTTTCTTGACCAATTATAATAGATTCTCTTCTAATATCTCCCAGCACATCACTGCATTTATTTCTTTTGGTGATGTGTAATGCTCCAGTACCATCTGCAGAGAAGTAGTTCCATATTACGATGCTCCGTACTTCTCTGTGGGTATGGTGTTTTTAGGATCATACACACAACCCTTCTTTCTCCAAACACAACGAGCTGAATTATTGCAAAAAAGTTATTTTGTTTCATCTGACCGCTTATAAAGACGGCTTCTTTCTGTTCATTCAGGGCAAGGTACTGCCACTGTTGTTCTAGTGCATACTGAGCGGTGCTACTCTTTGTTCAGGCTTGTTTTTTGACCTCGGTTTTTGTCTTTGTCCTTCTTGGCTTAGTCTGCTTATTCACGTGTTTTGCCTTTCAGTGTTTGACCTCTGTTTGGTTCTCGACTATCTCTTTGATGTCTCTCATGATTGTTGTTGGCCTCTCTCTGGTTTTAACCCTCACCTGTATTACTACGTCGCATTTGATTGAGCCTCATCACATGAAAGCCTCTATGTTTTGTTTTAACCGCGAGTGTCTGGTCTGTTCTGCAACTTTACAATGGTTATGTTTTCATTTAATAAAAAAATTGATGTATATTCTTTGTTTTTATTCAGCTGACTTCAGGTGGTAATTCTGAATAAAATGTAGAGAAAAAGGGACAGAGGATAACCTCACCATCATTTACTTCCAAAAGTTACAATGCAAAGTTGGACTAATACAATAATGTAGTAATAATTAATAATATTTTTAGACCATTTATTATTTCATGTGATATTTCACAAAATATCTAATAAAATATGGTATTATTTATTTACACAATGATAATGAATGTGCAATAAACTACAAATTAGTTTCAATTTTTCCTCTTCTCTATTCTGAAAGAATGCTGATCTTGTCTTGGTCTTGTCTTGAAGTCAATGAGCCCCGGTGTTGACTCAACTACTCGACTACTACAAAGTTTTGGTCATACTAACATAACCATTTCAAGGACTGTTTGAATGAGACACAGTACAGTGCAGCCATTCAGACCAGACGGCATTTATAGATATCAGTATTAAAGAGACGATCTGTTTAATTCTAATAGATGAAGAGAGTTTGGAAAATGATCATGTAAAAATGAGTTGTGACTTTTTAGTACGTAAAACCACACAAATGTTATAAGTGCACCTCAGAACTTAGGATGTGGTTCCTTTAATAAAATTGAGTGCATTTATTTTTGATCTGGTTCTGTGGTCAAAAATGTATTTGTGCTTCTATGCGAGTACTTGTAAACCACTGAGCCACACCACAATTCTAAGCAACGCTTAACGGCGGAAAAATTTTTTTTCTGTGTTGACCAGTGAAATGCCAGGCTTTTTTAGCTGTTTATCAAGATTGTCACTCTTTTTTTAGTGCGATACTTTTTCATGTTTGAGAAATGTCTTTTTTTGTGCCCGAGAGCTTAGAAAACAACCCAAGCTGTTTCATGTGCATTTTTGAAACACTCCATTAGGTACTAAGCAGACATTTTCATATTACAGAGCTATTTTTCTTGTGTGGTTTTGACATTAGGATCGAATTATCTTTTGACAGTCACTCAATAATGAGAGATGTTCTACTGTGGGTTAAATATCTGACAGATGCTTTTATGCTTCTAATAACGTGAGAGCTTTTCATTAATTGACTTCTGTCAGGACAAAAAGATAAAAAATGACCGCGAGACATGAGACAGAAGGGACGATGCATCAATCTGATGTTTAGGGGGCTTGTAGACGCATGCTTTTTATGTTGTTCAGGACTAAGAGAATTTGTTGGACAGTGACAGGAACATTATAGACAGAGTTGACCAGAGCTTTACAAAATCGCAGCAGTTCAGTGGAACCTATTTGCAGTGAGAACAAACAAGTATTCAGGCACTTTAGTTTTTGTTATTTAATATACTTCCAGTGCATATATACCCTTTAAATTTACACGCATAATGTCTCTTGACTTTGAGGTTATACACATGAACAAAACAGTTTTTGTTCATAAACATAAACAGAGACAAATTTTACAAATTAAATTGATAAGAAAAAAAGTTTTGAGTTATTTTGGCTGTATGTTTTGGAATGTCTTGTTGAAACAAGTTTACAAGATTCAGTTTCTTGACCAATTATAATAGATTCTCTTCTAATATCTCCCAGCACATCACTGCATTTGTTTCTTTTGATGATGTGTAATGCTCCAGTACCATCTGCAGGGAAGTAGTTCCATATTACGATGCTCCGTACTTCTCTGTGGGTATGGTGTTTTTAGGATCATACACACAACCCTTCTTTCTCCAAACACAACGAGCTGAATTATTGCAAAAAAGTTATTTTGTTTCATCTGACCAGAATAACATTGTTCTGGTTTGTCTAAATGCTCATGTACAAATTTTAGATATGCATCTCTGTGTTTCATAAAAATATATATATATATATATATATATATATACACACACACATACACCACACACAGCTGTCTTCATTTTTTTTTAAACATATCTTTGTGCTTAGAGATATATATGTGTAAATGTGTAGTTGATGTATGCACAGGAACTATATAACAAAACAAAAGTGTCTGAGTTTCCCTTCACTGTATATGTGTATGTGTGTGCTCTGTGCAGGAGGGGGAGGTGGATGGAGGGACACCACTACACACCTCTGGGCAGGAAGATCTCTGTTTGAAGGGGCAGAAGGGGGCTCGTCTTGCCCTCAGGCCCTGTCTAAACTCGGCTGGGCTACTTTTGGAGGATTTGGGGGAGGAGGAGGCGCGTGTACTGCTGGAGGCGGTGGAGGAGGATACAGAGGTTAGTATGCTGATGGAAACACCAAGGTGCAGTCACAGTAGGCATTTGCAGTTTGTACCAGCTTGCAAAATGTGGAAAATAACCTAGAAGTTGAAAAAAGTTTTTAGTTATGGTACAGTTACTAAGCTAGAAAACCCACTAACCATGAACAGATAAATACTTATATATAGATATGTACTTATAACAGCATAGTGCTGCACACTGATCTATAGCACCAATCTGTAGATAACTCGTATGTGTCTTGTGTGCAGCTGTGCTTAGCCAATGAGCTAATGTAACACTTAGAAATCTGGCTAACTCGCCTACCGCAAACAGTAAAATCAAAAAAGAGTCATTCCATCAGAAGACTCTATATTAGTCCACAACTTCTGATGCGATATATGATATGTATATTCATTCAAAGCTCATCATTAACATGGTGTATGAAAAAAATATAGCAAGTGAAGAAGAGTTTTTATTCATAACCCCATTTCCAAAAAGTTGGGACGCTGTGCAGAATGTAAATAAAAAAAGAATGCAAAGGTGTGCAAATCATGTAAACCATGTTTTTAAAGGAAAATACTACAAAGATGACAAATCAAATGTTGAAACTGAGAAATTTCATTGTTTTTTGAAAAAAATATAAGCCCATTTTGAATTTGATGCCAACAACACATTCCAAAAAAGTTGGGATGGGGGCATGTTTACCACTGTGTTTCATCAGCTCTCCTTTTAACAACACTCTGTAAGCGTTTGGGAACTGAGGAGGCTGTAGTTTTGTAAGTGAAACATTTTTCCATTCTTGCTTAACATAGGATTTCAGCTGCTCAACAGTTCAAGGTCTCTTTTGTCGTATTTTTCATTTTATGTTTTCATTTGCATGCAAAATGTATTAGTTCCGGAAGTCTGATGTGGTATTCCATTGAAATTCCAATGTAATTTTGCTTGTAAATTTTTTTCTAAAAATGCTAGTGTGTGATTAGGCATTTAAGACGTGATCAAAAATGTACAGACACACAGTATTCTGTTTTGAAGTTGTTTATAGTGTGACTGTATTAATGCACCGTAATTACTGGCACAAAAAGAATATGTCCTTGTATAAAATGCTTTAACACAGTATCATATAAGAGATGCTCTAAAGCTGTTTGATTTTCTGTGCTTTAAGTCAGCAAAGAACACAATGGCATCTTTTTTTTACACCGTTGGAGCTGTTATATGTCTCATCCATTAGTGAATAGACACTTACCCACACAAAGATCTACCTGCCATCTCAAAGACAGATATAAGGAGGCCTTTCAAAAATATATATATAAAGTTTACCCTTGTTTCAGATGCACTAGTTACTACACACGGAAGAAAATGAAACACTGAATGTACTATATTGAGGTGTGTGTTAGGGGGTGCCCACACCTTTTTTGTCCTAATGGGCCAAAGTGCAATGATTATGGTGGGCCAAGGCCCAACAAAAGACAAAACAACATGCAACTAGAGAAGGTAGACAGATTTCAAATCAAGTTTTTAAAAATATCTTTTACAGCCATGTGCAAGAATTTATACACCTCTGGTCAAATTACATGTTTTGTTGATTTTCTAAGTGAAAATAAGTTAACAGATCCTCTACAGAGAAAACACTTAAATATGGCATTCTGCAACAAATTGTAGTGCACAGTTTCTGTTTATTTGCTCAACTTTTACACAGGTCATGCTTTATGCTTTATCATTTTTCCCAATATGTTAAACTCAGCAAATAAACAATAATTGTGCATTAAAATTTACTGAAGAAAAATTTGTGGACAAAACGTCAATTGACCAAGGGCGTGCAAACTTTTGCATATGACTGTATAACATTACACTATATTTTCTAACTAACGTTCTTTAAAAATACAATTTCAAAAGGAAAGTAAGAATTTACCATTTTGTATGTTGTATATAATATGTTTGTTCTCTGATTGGGTGAGGAGGTGGTGTTAGGGTAACTTTCTGGTGGGCCCAGCGGTATCAAGTACGATGATTTTTTTTGTTTAGGTGGTGATGTGTCCCACACTGATGACATCACAGCAGACGGGCAGGATGGCATTTCTTTTGTCCACCCCTCAGGAGAGATATTTCTGCAGCCGTTGGCAGGTGAGAGATTCAGAGCACTATTCAGATGGGATTAGTTTTCCATGGGGAGGTGGGGTGATACCAGTTTACCACAGGATGTCTGGAATGTTTATGACTAATTTGCACGGAATACGAAAACTCAGTACAAAGGACAGAGACGGGAGTGGCTACTCAAGTTACGCACTTTACTCCTCAAAAGAGTAGAAAATGTCAGAAAATTTAATTTAGCCATTATTTTGTTTACCTTAGTCATTTACCTAGCTGTCTTAAAGCCCTTGTCTCCTCATGTCCTTGAATTTTTCTATTATCTGTAGTTTTGGTGATGTTTTTACAGTGAACTGACAGAGAAAGAATGATATTAGTCTTTCTGCTGACTTTTTTCTGCTGTTTTCTTCAGTTTGATTTGTGTTGGGTGGGACTACATTTGGCATAGGTCAGGGGTGTCAAACTCAACCACTAAAAAGGCCATATTAAAAAATCCCAGCTGTGTTTTCATTTCATTTTTTTTAACATTTTGCCATGAATATGCAGCTCAGGGTGAAACCGGCTAATGATAATAGAAAATCAAAACAATTTTGCAGGCTGAATAGGATTGTGCCACGGGCCTGACACGGGCAAGGTGATGTCAGATCTGCCAAAGCACCGCCCCCCCCCACGACAGACTTGAATCTGTAAATAAGTTGTTGTTGTTAGCTTGACGATGTGCACATGTTGTTTCTGCTATGCTGTGCTGGTCTGGGGGGTAGTTGGTGCAGAGTTAGTGCTTACCATTAGGTGAGAGTGCATGTCTAGGAGTGACCTGCCTGCTGTCTTGGCCGTGTCAGCAGTGCTCAGTGGTGGTTCACCCTTGATGCCTGTTTAATTATAGAGCATTCGCCTTTAAAGCCTAATGATTCCTGCGTCTTCTTCGTTGCTGAGGATGCAATATCTTTTGAAAATCACACTGATGAAAATAAACATTTGAAACCATGTTGACAGGCTTTAAATAAATAGACTCTTTCATTAACATGTTCATTAGCACTGAGAAACACCAGTAAAATGACATTACCTATAGTTGTATAATTATGTCTGAATTATATAGTTATATTTATATAACAGTTATATTTATATTATGCAATTAATTGTTTGTTGTTTATCTAGCAGTAAAATGTTTCTTTTAGCCAATTCAGATAAACAGAAGCACATCACACGCCCTCTCAGTGATTCAATAAAAGACATGGGAGTCTTGTGGTGTGTAATAAAAGGCCTCATGCAACTCGTTGAAAATGAGAAGTGTGTCTGGAATCTGCTGTCTCCAGCACTTTGTCTGGGAGGCTTGAGGAGATGAGTGGTCAGCTGCAGGGTACATGCTGCAGTGTAGTTATTTTAGATGATAATATTACAAATAATAAGAATCTTAATAGGCCAAAAAAACGTCTGTCAGTTTTTCTTTTTACTTAGTAATTTTACTTTAGGAATTATGTTTGATGAGCTTAACCTCTGCCTGCAGGAAACCCAGTAGCTGTTCTGCCTGCTGAATGAAAATCTACTCCAATTTTTTAATCAACAATTTGAAATAAAATATTTTTTTCCTCATAACTCTATTATCAGATTAACTAAGACACTGTTGGCTCTCTGTTTGTGAAATATTGTGTTGAGCTTCTCATGAACAATTCACACACACACACACACACCCCAAAACAAGCAGAAATTTCTATGATTGCTGTGAAAAGGTAAAAATTTGGAATATGTTTTTTCAGACACATATGAATGTGCTGAGCCATTTTCAGTGTTAAAGGAATATTTCAGCATAAATCACACTATTTTCCACTTACATTAGATGTAGTTGATCAGCTAAGACATGTTTGGTTTCCAAATATTTCTGCTTTAGTTTAGTGCTGGTGTTACAAGGCTGACTTCCTTCTACCCACTCAAACTGGATCTAAGTCTTAATTACATTTCATTTCATCTTATTGTACAGCCTTGTTAATGTAGTTTAGAGCGCAGTATGGCTTCCTGTGATCTGTGCAAATGAACAGAATTTCGCCAAACTGCAGTCAGCCAAATTAGACAGCAGGTGTTGGGCTGAATTGTGACTACTTTTCATGTGCATGCAAGTCACTCTGGCATATGGACGCCACAGATTTCTGTTTGTTTTTGCAAATTTTATAAATAAACTGTTTTTCTTGGGTTTTCAAACTGAAGATGTGTGTTTATAAATAGGAACCACAGAAATGCAATCTAGAGTCCACATGTCTGTATAAATGCGTGAATGTGAAGGGGAGTCAGATTCTGCAATAGAGTCAGAATTCAGCAAAACATCTGTTGTCTGAAATGATCAACCATAGCGTTTAGGAACACAGTGAAGATTTGTTCATTTTTATAGTTCACAGTAAGTCATACTGTGTCTTATGTGGAACAGGCATGATGTAAGAACATGTCATACTGAACAAGTAGTACTCTAACAGCTGCATTTTGCACAAGCAGCAAACTGTCAAGTCATTTTAGGTAATTCAATAAATAGTGCATTCACTGTAATAATGTAGACGAGAGAAGACAAAAGCATGAATGAACTTCCTCTTTTGCAGAATTAAGTTTTTTTTTTTTAAGCTTTCATTTTCTCAAGCTTTGTTTTTGTGACTGAAGAAATAAGTCTTAAAAACATGGCATTTTGATTTACATGGAAACCAACTGTGGTAAGTTGCAGTACTATTGTTATGAAATTTGGTTGAAAAATTATTGCCGCTTTAAAAGGATTTAATTAATTGCAAAACGTTTATCTATAAATTCTGAATTCCTCAGATATCACGCAGCACAACCAAGAACAAAGGACTTTTAATCTTGTATGCTTTTAAGAAAGAGTGGGCAGAGTATTGCATCATAAAGAAGACCCCAAGGGACCTTCATGGTGCAAAGCCAAGGTCAAAAGCCTTTTCACAAATAATGAGAAAATTGTCATTTTGAGTCATGGTTAGGCACCGTGTCCAAGTACAAAGTTTTCAGCAGTTGTAAATACCAAGAAAACAAAAACAAATGCAAATGTTAATTGACAGTTTGATCTGCAGACTTTTATTGCTCATTTAAATGAGCCTCAAGTGAAAAATCATTTAATATCAAATTGCTTTTGCTTTTGTAATCACTGATGACTTCTAAAGGTTGAATACATACTATGCTACTCAATCAGTTGGTTTATGGTACCTGAGTGTTCACACTTTGAAAAGAAAAGATGTTTTCAAGACAGTTCTGTAATAAATGCAGTGTTAGGTGCAGGTTCTTTAGCAGGAACCCCCAGAAAAGATAATTACCAGAACAGCAGCACAAAAACAGACTTTCTAGTATCGTGGAATGATGTGCATTTAAATCAAGTTAGTTCACTCCATCAGGAAAACATCATTTAGCATCCAGCTCAGTGTCTGACACACATCTGCCACCAGAGCTGCTCTTCACTTTCACTCACACACTCTGCACTTTGTCCAGCTGTTTCTCCTCTCACACTCTCATTAATCTCACTTTGCCACATCAGCTCAGCTTCACATCTCCCTGTGGTTCAGGAAATTGTGAAGCCATTTCACAATATAATTTACAACTCTCTTGTGGATTCATTGAGGAACTTATATATACAGACTCTAGTCTGTTTATCACACCTCGGAAAGCTGGAAAGCCTTTTGGGGTTCATTCAAAAGTCTGAATGCAAAATGCACTTCTTGTTATGTTAGACCTCAGATAATGTCATACGGAATATCGAAGCTTATCATAGATGCAGATCAGATTTTGTGTAAATCTCATATGATTAGGCATTAAACTGTCCATATTGAGCCATTTTCTTTTCCTTTTATGTTTTCCCTGAAATGTACTTTGGTGTGGTTTTATGTACCAAAAACAATTGTAATTATTTATTACACAGCCATTTTACAAGCTCCCTTTGTCCCTTAGATTTAAACAAGATGTTTTTAAGATTGTATTATGCCTCATTCAGTCTGGGCTGATACACTCCTTAAAACTTCAGCATGAATGGGTGGGGCCAAACTGCTGTAGGCTGAATATATAATAGATATGTGTAAATTTGTTCATTTTCAAGACATTACAAAAACAGTAAATTCAAAAAGGACTGTTTTTGCAGGATCATTTCCATATGTGGACTGTATATTATCCCACTAGTACATGTGCACTCATGTCCTTGTCTTAATGTTTATGTAACAGAGAAGCAGCCTGAACGTGTTTTGTTATACTGTACTCCCAAATACGTATAATGACAATAAACTGAATCAAATGGAATTGATTGTAGTACATTAGACTCTTTTATTTCAAAAAAGTGAGGAAATTTCCGTTCAATGGAACCTTTTACTAAATCCATCAATTTTCAACGTATAAAGTCTTTGAGAAGAGTAGGAGATGTTTCTATATTTGTTATGTAGATATGTTTCTCTTTGCTGTCTGCAGCCATGGAAAGTCATGGGGAAGCTGAGATTGAAGTGCACCTGAACTGCAGCCACTGTCAGACTCAGAGCTGTAAACGAGATGAAGACAGCAGACTCATTCTCTGCCTGTGTCACAATGAGGAAGTGCTCGCTCCAGACAACGTCACCTGCATAGGTAGCCAAAAAAATTATTCTTCAAAAGCAATACAGTTTTTGTATTCCATATAGTAGCTGCATGGTACTTTTATATAATTCCTATTATGATTGCCACTAGATATTGTGATTTTGACATGAAATGTAATAGATGGTGAAAATGAATATAGGATTGTTGCTGTTTTTTTACGATTAGTATATTATGCCTATGTATATTGCAATTTTGTAACTTAATCGATTGATCATTCACACAATGATACATGAAAGGGAGTGTTATAACATAAGATATTGACATTGGTCACTGCATTTATGAGACCGAATAGCTCCAACCTAAAGCTGCTGCGTATAAAGGCAACAAAGTATTGTAACACAAGAACTTCAGGATGTCTACACAGGAAATGTCATGTCTGCTTGTCAAAACAAAACATAAACAAATTATGAACTAATCAGTTAATAGCTTGAGAGAACTAGCCTCACACTTTACATACGTATAACACATTGAAAAGAAATATACCTCACAGCAGAATGAAAACACGGTACTACTAACTGAAACATTCTACAGGCTAGTATTGTCCTTATAAAGTAAGGAGAACGGGTCATACAGCTAACCAGGGCTTGACTGGGAACCGAATTCAGCACTGAACTTTTGTCTAGACCAGCCCACTACAAGTTAAGTGACCCCCCCACCCCCCCACCACAACCCCAAAAAACGCGACGCCACTGTGACTGAACCAAACCCCCTTGACCCATCAAAAGGTTTACTATTCCAGGCTTGCTAAATTAAGTTTATCCCAATAAGTTTACTCTCTGCCTGTTGGATGGGTTTTACAAGTGGATTCAATCTTCTTCATCAAACTTAATGGGTGTGTAAATCTATTTTGTCCAGAGCAAAACAACAGAGTAAAAATGGAAACCCTTGCAAAGTAAAACTCTGCACAAACATGACGTGGCACAATCGGCAAAAGGAAATGTTTTTGTGATGCTTCATGCACATCGCATAACAAAACAATACAATACGCAACACCACTGCAACACATGGCCATGTAAACACTACACTGATTAATGTAGGAGTGACTGCAAGCTCTGTTTGTGGGTCACTGTTTTTGGGCTCATCACGGTATCCACGGTATGACATCATATCAGGAGAGAATGTCATACCGGTATTATACCAGTTATACCGGTGTACCTCCCACCACTGTTTAGAAGTGAATGGAATCTTTGCTAACAGTTCTCATTTAGTGTCTGTTACATACATACATGCTTTACTCTCTGTCTCTCTTTCTCTCTGTGTGCACTGATCCCCCAGTGGAAACGCAGGGTTCTGTGGCTGAGGGATACCCATCCCTGTCTCTCATCCTGGCTGTGGTAGCATCCACTGTGATAATGGGCATCGTGCTGACCTGTGCCAGCCTCACACTCAGTAAGAAACTCTTCCAGTTCTGCCTCAACTCCACCTTCCAGCGCCTCTGACACCCTCCACCTCCCCGCATCCACTCTCCCCGACACTGTACATGACCACTCCCACTACATCAGGACTCCTCAGAGGGACTGAGATATGCAGGGAAAGAGAGAGTTTTAAGCCGATTTCACACCAGAAACGATGTGGTGCATGTGGCACGCTTTAACCACTCTGCAACGCTTGCAATTTCACACTGGATGCAACACATGCGCCGGGAGGCAGAAGTGGTTTTCGTTTGTGTTGCATTTTCGCATATTCCAAATGTAATACAAATGTTTTTATAGTCCATTTATTGCTTAACCCTCTGGGGCCTAGGGGTATTTTCTTGATTTTTGCATATCTTCTTAAATGTGCCTTTAAAAGCACTTGCATATAATATAATATCCATATATTTCGTATCAGAATGCTCCATATCTTCGTCGCTACTTTCAAAAAATGCTACATTAACTTCAGCAGATGTAAATATTTTTGCACATCATTGAAGGGTTTCTGATATGATGGATAAGTCCTTAGTTATTTCCTAGGTGTCCATTAATCAGTTTTACACAAAATGTAGATGGACACATGAATTTATCAATTACACACGGTGAGAGGCAGATGATGTGTGTCTTAACCCTTTTAATAGACTTGTAATAGAGGTCTGCACTCCTGCCGGACGCACCAAAATATCTTGCAGCGCGGGACTAATTTTCAGTGCTGCTCGCCGGAGCGGGTGGGAAATCAGACCCCTTCAGACAGAAGTGGGCAGAAGCAGCCATGAAGAGAAATCCTGTAAAATTAATGAATAGCTTAAATAAAGTAGAACGATTACTAAATCATATATATATAAACAATATAAAAGGATGACAGGAAAACAATTAAAAAGATTTAAGTCATTCTAAAGAGTTGCGAAGCAACCAATCATGTGAACAGCACAAAATTCTTCCTCCTAGTGGAAATCAGCTCAAAACATTAAGAACAAACAGACATTAATGTCGCCCAGTAAACAGAGTTAACAGTTACGGTGACGACAACAACAGTAACGACGCCATCAGAACAGTAGAGTTAAGAGCTTATAAATCAAACAATCAGACTAACAAGTCTGCGTTTTTTAATACAAAGGAGCCAAAAGGTGCAAAGTCCCACCCCCTCTTCGTCTGAAAGGGCTCTCTGATTGGTCAAAGGGGGACAGCGCAACACTTCAATCCATTTATATGGCAAAAGATTCGAAAACTGAGTGGAAAAGGCGAGAGAGAGAAAGCATGCAAGAGACAAAGGGAGAGAGAAAAAAATTCTCATACGTAACACTGTGGTTTAATTCATGCTTTGTGTTTACTAGGAATAAAGGGCGTTTAGTGAAGTTACTGCACAGTGAGCCTGATGATCACGACTGCTGTGTTATTTCATGTATATAATGTATTTGTGAATAGACTATGCCAGATAGTGGATGTCAGTTTGCGTTGACGGAACTGCGCGGGCGGGAGTGGGACAAAACGTTTCGATTGCGGGCGGGTGCGGGAGAAATGTTTTAGGTTTTCTAAGGGAGCAGGCGGGAGCGGGATGAAATCTTGCGGGAGTGGGCGGGAATGGGCCGACTCTACAGATGTAGAAAATGTTTCTGCGCTGTATTGTCAGAAAGATAAAGAAACATATATAAAAACATCCAATTTAATGTGCGGGCAAGTTTGTGGACCCCAGATGGTTAAATAAACTTAATGTGGACAACATAAAGAGATCAACAATAAAAATCTGAATAGCTCCCATTCTTTAGAATTAGATCCAAAGCAAATATTTGCACTTCACAGGTTACCACGGCAGTGCTGCGTAACGCCTGCAGCTGATATGAAAGGCTATGTTGATTAACATATGGCCGAATTTCTCGCAGCACAGCGTGGCACGTCATAACGGTGCGGTTACCGCGTCTGGTGTGAAATGGGCTTTAAAGGAATTAGATTCAGTTACAATATTTTTACAGTGAAACATTGCATGTACACTCCTTGATTGCTGTTGAAGCTTTTGAGGACTTGTTGAGCTGGTAAGGTGAAAGAGAAGCCAAAATACTGACTTTAAAATGAGTGCTCTTAGACATAGATTATAGGTTTTGCTTCAGCATAATTTATGGGTAAACATGCTCTCTAAAACACAGAAGAAAGTGCTGTGCAGATTACTGACCAGTACGTTTTCAAACTATGTACTGTGTTAAACTGCTCGTCAGAGTGTTCTCTCTAAAACATTAACTGTAAATTAAAATTTAATGAATATGTTCAAATCAGTTGAAGATCAAAATCTCCTAATTAAATGATCATCAGTGCTGAAATTAATGGAATAAGCAATCCAAGATGGAAACACTTTTAATTCTGCTCTATATATGAAGCAAGAAAAATGTCTTTCTTAATGCAACTTGAAGAAAAGGTAATAGAAACAGTTCTTGAGGCATCCCAAAATTGCTTTAAAAACAAAGAAGGAAACTGTAATGCAGTATAAACTGTGATGTGAACTAATATTAAGGGTAGCCATGTGAAGACAGGCCAGATTTCATAGGAAAAGTGTAATACTGATACAGAAAAAAATCACTGTAGCGAGCTGAGATAGTAACAGAACAGTGGCAATGTTCCTCTTTGCACTTGGTGTTAAAATCCGTCCCATATCTGCATGTTTTTGGAAGATGGATTTAAAGACAAGTGTAACTATGTTTGTATAAAGAATGTATTCAGAACATTGTTGAAAAATGGTTTGTGAATTCAACCTAAAAAAATTACATCAGTTGGTAGCAAACAATTAATTGAGTTTTAATCAACTCAAATACTTGGAATAAAACAACGCAACAAAAAAATTTAGTTAGGATTAACACAAGTATTTTTTTAAACAGTTCAAAAAATGCTTCAAATCAACTTCTACCCTGTTCAGCATAGCTATCCTGATTCCAAGCACATACTGTGATCTGTGCGTGTTAATGCAATAAGTTCAGCTTGGCTACATTCACGGTGTAACCTCTCATCCACTCCACCAAAAACTTTTAATATTGTTCCCACTTTTCTTGTTAAATAAGTTGTTTTTAGGTGTCTGCATGCATATTCAAATGTAGCCAACAAGAAACTGAACTGGTTTGATTGAAATCAACTTTGAATAAAACAATGCAAAAAAAGTTCAGTTTGAAAGCAAAAAACTGAATTTTCTTATCAGTTCAACAGTTCCAGTTTTTACAGAGTTTTTGCAGCTATGAAGGACAGTAGACAATTCTCCCATGTCTCCTGGCTGTGATTGTAACCCATATTTTTGTTTAAACTCTGCACAGCCTGTACTCTGCTCTGCCTCCACAGCCTGAGATCCTATCAATATCTAGATGCAGAAGAGCCATTTTGAAAAGTGCAAATGTAAATGGGCCATGTATTGATTGGACAGTGATCAGATTGTGGTGATCAGATATAAACACCAAGTGTAAACAGGAACCAAAAATATAGCCAGGTCATATTTTGTGTATTGACTAACCTTTATTTTCATCTTAGATCTGTTTTGAATACTATAGCGTAAAGCTAACCACAGAGCTAACCTTTCATCCATGTTCATTAAATAATAATTACAAATTTCCCCATTAACCACCCAAACATGTTTCTCTCCTTATAGGCCCTTTCAGTTCCATATTTACCACTCAGTATGTTTTATTTTGGCTGTGAGCCAAAAAATCTATGTTTGTTCTTTTATGATATGGTTGTTCAAACAATTGAGCATTATATCTTATCTGGTGAAGAGATATGCTTAGTACTAATCTTATTGCACATTAATACTATAAGGAATGAGTAGGGAATCAAGAAAGTGACTGCTATTAACCATAAACAATTAATTATTTTGTTTAATGCTTTGTAATGAGTGAATGAACAAGAGGGCCAGATCATTTCCAGACTATATTTAGTCTCATCAAAGAGCTACTGTATCAATGTTGGCTGACCAATATCCTTATTATTGCTGCTATTTAACTATTTTTATTATTACTCAACAACAAATCATAGGCTTTAAAAAGTCATTTCCAGTATAGGATGGTGAGGGAATATGTTGGGTGTCTATGCACTGTCCCCATGAATGTGAGCATCTTGTGAAATGGACAGGGGTAATGTGAGATTTGACTTTGTTTTGGCATAATATGTAATGATGGACAGTTCTTCTCCTCTAGTTCATTCAGTTTCCTTTGCACCATCAATCAATCACTGCCTTGTATTCTGACTTGAAATTTGCTCAGTGAAAGGTACGTTCTACCAAATATTTGTAAATCTACAACAGTGTTTATAACAATGCTGGGAGCTTAAGAGAAGGCTGGGGTTGGTTGGCACAGTTTCCATTTTCTGTGATTTATACCTGATGTGCCATATGTTAGGATTTCCCATGAAAGCTTAAGATCTCAGTACAAAAATACACATATTGAATGTTACTCAATACTTGAAGTGCACAGCGTCATGTTGGCATATATCATGGTGATGGTTGGAGAGGGTTTGTTCCTGGTACAAAAACAACACATACTCATTGTTAGAACTTTTAATTCAAAACAAGACTGAAAACAAACATTCAGTGGAATATCTGACCAAACAATCTTTTTGAAACAAACATTGTGTATGCCTTGAATGATTGTCCGGACAAAACAGAGAGTTTGGGTTCTGAAATCTGATTGGCTAAGCCAAAAAGTAGAGACTATGTTTACCAATGTGTTACATATGTCACATTTTGCACTTCATGATGCGCAACTCGTTTTCAGTAGGAGACAGGCCGCACCCGCACAAGGCGCTGTATAGTGTTCCAAAACTTGTTTACATCTTTCAGTGTTAATGGTGCTTTCACAGATGTGCAAGTTACCCATTCCAATCAATCCTTTACTCTTACCTCTGCTTGATCTGATCAGTGTTCCTCTAAAATGGAACAATGTACAAATTGAGGTTTTGCCAGGGCTACTGCTGTTGAATTCACATTTATAACACTTTGAGAAATAGTGTTGT